TCAATAAAGGCGGGGAGCGAGAAAAGATGGGTTAGAAATGAATTTGCTAGGTGGATCAGAGCCTGGGAAAAACTTTGCTTGTGACAAAAAGGGAATGATGTGCCTAATTTGCTGTGAACACAAATAGCAATCTGATATTGCAATGCCCATTGTGACGGACTGGGTATCCAAAACCATAGTGCAAAGAGGAGGCAGAGGCATATCTAGCGGATGGTGAAACCGGTCCCCAGAGGGGTGCAAAAATCACCCCATAAATCCTTCTCTAGTTATCTGTGTAAGGTCTTGAGTTTAGATCTCGGATCTGAGCTGTAGGAGAAATGGCAAGGCAGCATGAAGGGGGAGACTATGGAGTGTGTGGCATATATGTTTGTTGTCGTGCCACTGCTGTCATGGCGAGATCAAACACGGGAGAAGCTTCCTGCCTTTCTCACACTGCGGCACAAAGTGTGTTTTTTTCTGGTGAGGGTGGGGGGATGCCAATACAGTTCCTAGCCAAGGGTGGATTGGACCCCAGGTTTGCTTCTGAAAAGAGAAGGCTAGAATCTGGCACTGAAAGCTACTGTTGACGATGGTAGGCTATGGGTCTTTCTGCAGCCAAACAGGAGTGCCCCCTTTATCATTGCATCTCTGTGGCGCAAGCCTTATGCTATCAGCATCAGCAGTACATTCAGGTAATTTTAGATTCTGCCTCAACAGGAACAGGGAACTGAATCCAGCAGGCAGACCAGATCCTTATCTCCCCTTCCTTATTTCATAGAAATGGAACCCTGGGTAATCACCCAGAAGCCCTGGAATCCTGCACTGCTTGAAGATTGGGGTGGCATGCAACAATATTTACAAGCTGCCAATTCCTCCTCTCATCCACAGTAAACAAGTGACCTGGCATTGCTTATTTTTGTCTCAAATTTGTTTGTTTCTAGTACAGTGGTAGCAATGACAAACCTAGACAGCATCTTTAAAAGCAGAGACATCACCTTGCCAACAAAGGTCCATATAGTTAAAGCTGTGGTTTTCCCAGTAGTGATGTATGTAAGTGAGAGCTGGACCATAAAGAAGGCTGATCGCTGAAGAATTGATGCTTTTGAATTATGGTGCTGGAGGAGACTCTTGAGAGTCCCATGGACTGCAAGAAGATCAAACGCATCCATTCTTAAGGAAATCAGCCCTGAGTGCTCACTGGAAGGACAGATCCTGAAGCTGAGGCTCCATGAGTTTGGCCACCTCATAAGAAAAGAAGACTCCCTGGAAAAGACCCTGATGTTGGGAAAGATGCAGGGCACAAGGAGAAGGGAACGACAGAGGACGAGATGGTTGGACAGTGTTCTCAAAGCTACCAGCATGAGTTTGACTAAACTGCGGGAGGCAGTGGAAGACAGGAGTGCCTGGCATGCTCTGGTCCATGGGGTCATGAAGAGTTGGACACGACTAAATGACTAAACAACAACAACAACTAAACGACTAAACAACAACAACAAAGTACAGTGGTACCTTGGTTCTTGAACTCAATCCGTTCTGGAAGTCTGTTTCAACTTCCAAAACATTCACAAGCCAAGGCACAGCTTCTGATTGGCTGATTGGCCCCGGAAACAATGGCGACAGTCAAAACAGACGTTCAGCTTCCAAAAAATGTTCGCAAACCGGAACACTAACTTCTGGCTTTGCGGTGTTCGGGAACCAAGCCGTTTGGGAACCAAGGTACCACTGTACTGCCACTGTTAGAAGATGCAAAATGCAAATAAAAACCCCCATTAAACTGTAAACCATGGCCAAGTGCCAATTGCGCTTAACATAATTGCATGCAGCGAGCATCTCAAACACAAATTGTGGATTTCCCACCCCCCCATGCAGCATCATGGAATGGCAGTGATAGGGTTTTAAACGCCATCTCCCACTCCTTGAAAGATTCCATCAACACTGTCTCCGAAAAATTTGTATGCATCACTGGGGAAGACACACAAACTAATGTCAGTGTACTGGAGCAAAGATCATAGAATCATAGAATTCTATGAATCATAGATCATGAGTGTCGAAGCAAGAATTCTTCAACATCAACTTCAATGGACTGGTCATGTGGTTCAGATGCCTGATTATCGTCTTCCAAAGCAACTCAACTCAAAAAATGGAAAGTGTAATGCTGGTGGTCAACCAAAGAGGTTTAAAGAATCTCTCAAGGCAAATCTGAAAAAAGGAAGTATAAACACTGACAACTGGGAAACACTGGCCTGCAATTGGAGAACAGCCTTTACCAAAGGTGTCACGGGCTCTGAAGAAGCACGAACTCAAGACAAAAGGAGAAATGAGATAAGAGGAATGCACATTTGGCAAACCCTCTCCGTGATCAACTCCTGCCCAGAAACTACGTCCCCACTATGGAAGGCTGTGCGGATCCAGAATTGGCCTCCAGTGTCACTTAGGGACTCACGGTTAAGACCACATTCATGGAACACAATCTTACTTGGTTATGAGTGATTGCCAAAGAAGAAGGGGTTTTTGTTGTTGTTGTTGTTGTTTCTGCCTTTTAAAAGTGGCATTTAACTGTGTGACAGGTTATTAAAAACACTTGTTTTTAATTTTTGAATAAAGTGCCTACCTGTGGAAGCCCTGCTAGTGGCACAGAAGGATAATGGTGAGCCAGTGGTGTTTGTGGAGGAATAATGAAAGGCAATGCTTGGCTTGCTAAACTTGTGGTGAAAATGTGAGATGGAAAAATAAGCCATCTTACTGCTGAGAGTGAATCTGCATCTAGGATACACACACACACACACACACACACACACACACACACACACCCTCTTCAAAAATGAACTATTTGATCTGGATTCAGGCACAGTCTCTATGGAAACCCTGCAAGGCCATTTCTGAATAACAACATTTCTGGATGAGAGAGATGAACTTAGTAGCACCAGCTGAAAGAGGGAAGGAAGAGTAGAAGATGACACAGAGGAGGAAAAAGATATGTGGTCAAACGGTAAGTTAACCTGCTGCAGTAACAAAGAAATGTGAAAGGCACAGATATATTCACCTCCATAAGGGCAGTTAAAAGCGGATTGCAGCACATGGAATTGGATGTCTCTCATCTCCTATAGCATCCGCTGGCCCAGCTGTATTATATTTATCTGTGAGAATTTTACGACCCCGCTCTATAGTCCAAAAAAATTGCTCCCAGACCACCTTCCAAACCGCCCACCATCTAAAGAGACATGACACAAAAGGAAAATGAACTGGGAGGGAGAAGGAAATAAGCAAGCATGGGATCAAGTTCTTAGCTACAAGTTGTTCTTAAGATTGACCCACTGAGATGGAAAAGTTTGAAGGGGTGAGGCAGTTCGATTGTGCCAGATTCTGCACCCTGAATCTCTCAAACGATATGCGAACGGTGGGGTCTACAGTTCCCAGGTGTCTTCAGAATGGCTGTATACCAGCTAAAGCATGATGAAACTAATATAATAATGTAGATTTACCACCAAGTTTAAAGCACCTGATGCTTAATTTTTATTTTTATTTTTTGTGATGTGGCACCCAGCAATACACTAGTAGTGCCTGATAGATTGGAAGCAAGGCTTGGCACCTCAGCAGTCAAGAGGAGAGATTGTCTGTGCCAAAAGTTATGAGACAGATATTCATTTATTTTTATCCGATTCCTTTCCCCTGGAAACTCTTAAGACGTGAATGGAAGACCTCACACCCAGGGATGTCTCTACCCTGGCACTGCTTCACAGTCTGAGTAGCTTTTGCCTGGCTAAAATGTGTCCTCAAACTCTGATACCGGCTCCCTCTTGTCTCTGAGGAAGGTAGAGAGAAGTGTGTGTGTTTGTGTGTGTACGTGTGTACAAAGGTGAAATTTCGATTAGTTGCTCCACCCTCTCTGATAAGAATTTCTCAGCCACTTCAGTAAATAACTTTTCCTAGGATTATCAGAGGACAATTAGTTTAAATCTGCAGCACAGATATGCCCTCATGTGCTACTCTCCTTCCAACGGCGGAGAGAACAGCTTTTATTGGCTCCCAGTACGTTTCCGAGCACAATTCAAAGTGTTGGTGCTGACCTTTAAAGCCCTAAATGGCCTCTGTCCAGTATACCTGAAGGAGTGTCTCCACCCCCATCGTTCTGCCCGGACACTGAAGTCCAGCACCGAGGGCCTTCTGGTGGTTCCCTGACTGCGAGAAGCCAAGTTACAGGGAACCAGGCAGAGGGCCTTCTCGGTAGTGGCACCCGCCCTGTGGAACGCCCTCCCACCAGATGTCAAAGAGAAAAACAACTACCAGACTTTTAGAAGACATTTGAAGGCAGCCCTCTTTAGAGAAGCTTTTAATGTTTAACAGACTACTGTATTTTAATACTTTGTTGGAAGCCGCCCAGAGTGGCTGGGGAAACCCAGCCAGATGGGCAGGGTATAAATAATAAATTATTATTATTATTATTATTATTATTATTATTATTATTATTATTGAAAGCCAAGTCATGAAGTTATGTGTGAGAGGCAGTGTGGCCTAGTGGTCAGAGTGTCAGACTAGGCCCTGGATCCCCACTCGCCCAGGAAGCTCCCTGGGCAGTGGCGTAGTGTGGGTTGTCAGCACCCGGGGCAAGGCAAGTAATTTGCACCCCCTAACCCGTGGATTTGCGCCCCCTAACCCTAACCCCCAGATATTGCGCCCGGTGCGGCCGGCCCCCCTGCACCCCCCCACGCTACGCCACTGTCCCTGGGTGCTGCCTCTCAGCCTAACCTACCTCACAGGGCTGTTGTGAGGATAGAAAAAGGAGGGGGAACCCAGAAGGAAATAAGCCAAGTGAGCATAATCTGCCATGTTTGGTTAACATTTCAGTGTGGATCTTAAATATACATATTTGCTGTATGGGTGCCAAGCCTTCCTGCAAACTCTGCTGTGTAAATCATTAATCAAGCAGAGGTGGAATTCCCCCAAACTGACCTTTGGAACTGTTCTCAGCTTGCCTATTCCATCTTGCAAACAGAAAGTAAAATAAAGGGTAACCGGAGTATTTTTCTTTTTTTACTTCCTTTTGCAGCGCGCGCACACACAAAAAAACCCCAGCTCTGGTAGCGAAAGGATTTTGGTTTTAGCCTAAAATACCCCCTCTTCCTTTTCTGTTATGCTCTCCGTACAGGGTTCAGTCAAGTTTTGCAAAGCCAAAAGAAGATGAGATCACGCCCTGCCTCTGCGGAGAAGGTGTCTTGACAACCGTTTGTGTGAGGGGAGTGCGAGAAATTGCAGATTTAAGAAAACCAGGTGAGTCATGAAGAGAACTGCATCTGGAGGACTGGAGGTCCCTTTTGGGTTCCCCGTCATAGTCTGTGTGTCCTAGGTGGATATGAACCACCTCCCTCCTCCTCCTAGATATTTACAAGATTAAATGGGGGAGAAGGCATAATTTACCAGTTTTATGAGTAGAGGACAAGCAACCATCAACACGAAAGACACTTACCTTAGATTCCGGTGTATAAGACGACTTTTTAACCCTGGAACAGAGGTTAAAAAGTCAGGGGTCGTCTTATACGCCGGGTATGGGCGGCGTGGAGCGGAGTGGAGCCCGCCCCTCGCTGCTGCTGTGGCGGCTCCGAATGCAGGAGTGGTGGGCTCTACTCCGCACCGGGCGGCTTTCACCCGGCGCGGAGCTGCCCAGCGTATTAGGCGACTGGGCTTATAAGAGGAACCCCCAAATTGCAGCTGCCAATTTGGGGGGTTGTCTAATATGCCCATTAAAGGGACGCGGGTGGCGCTGTGGGTTAAACCACAGAGCCTAGGACTTGCTGATCAGAAGGTCGGCGGTTTGAATCCCAGCGACGGAGTGAGCTCCCGTTGCTCGGTCCCTGCTCCTGCCCACCTAGCAGTTCGAAAGCATGTCAAAGTGCAAGTAGATAAATAGGTACTGCTCTGGTGGGAAGGTACACGTTGTTTCCGTGCGCTGCTCTGGTTCACCAGAAGCGGCTTAGTCATGCTGGCCACATGACCCGGAAGCTGTACGCCGGCTCCCTCGGCCAATAAAGCGAGATGAGCGCCACAACCCCAGAGTCGGCCACGACTGGACCTAATGGTCAGGGGTCCCTACATACCCTACATTCAAAGCAAACATGCATACATACCCTACATTCAAAGCAAATTTAAAGCACACATCTCCCAAAAAAATCAACCGTTGGTTTGTTAAGGATGCTGGGAATTGTAGTTCTTTGTGGGATAAACCGCAGTTCCCAGGATTCTTGGGGGGAGGGGGGAGGTTTAAATGTACTGCAGCAGAAGTCTGTGACTGCAACCAAAGGGGTTTGTATGCAAACCTACTATATAAATCCCATTTTTATGGTTTATAATAGCCACATGGAGTTAGCGCAAATGCAATGCTCTCTATCCCTTTACACAGTGCTATTTTTTATATAAAAAGAGGTGCCGGAACTCACCATGAACACCTCCTTTGTTCTATTAGAATGGCAACGACGGCACTCACCTGAAAGGTACCGGAACTGAGTTCCGCTGAGTTCCAGCTGGAAAAATGCCCTGCCTTTACACTGATTAAAGGTCTGGGAGTCAGCTGTTGGGTTATGGCGTCCTCTAATCCTTCCAGCCTCTCACTTCCGCACACAAACTCTCCATGCTGGGCTTTGCTATGGTTGTTTATCCCATTGGCATGGAAAACCAGAGTTCATGCTAGCCTGGGCTTTCGATGGAAGAAAAAATAAAATAAAAGCACAGGGATTTGTGTTTATGCCATACATATTTAGAACATGGGCTCACTTGGTGCACAATGGTCCTCATTCTGCCTGGACAGAATAAAAGCACTTCATGTATAATCACACATGGTCTAGATTAGAACATGGGGAGAAGGGATAGCAACATAGGAAACTGCTTATACAGTGGTACCTCTGGTTACGTACTTAATTCGTTCCGGAGGTCCATTCTTAACCTGAAACTGTTCTTAACCTGAAGCACCACTTTAGCTAATGGGGCCTCCTGCTGCTGTCGCGCGATTTCTGTTCTCATCCTGAAGCAAAGTTCTTAACCCGAGGTACTATTTCTGGGTTAGCGGAGTCTGTGACCTGAAGCGTATGTAACCTGAAGCTCAATACTATGGACACTGACTGGCAGCAGCTGTCCAGGCTTCCAGGCCTTACCTGGAAATTCCAAAGATGGAATCTTTCCCCACACAAAGCATATAATGCTTGACAGCTAGGGTGTGTGTGTTTTTCTGTGTGTGATGGGCTCTCCTACCTTCCCCAAACACCACTCCTATTAAATTGGGAATAGAAACTGAAGTGTAGGTGGGTTCTCACAAGGCAGGACACAGTGGTAACATAAAGAACCTTTATTGAACTAACAGAACTGGACAACAGGGGCAAAGCAACTCCTTATATGCATTTCTGAAGGCCTGGGCCACTCCCACTCCCAACGTGATTGGCTGTCTAAACTTCCAAGCGGCGAATCGTGACTCAAGAGTTTAAGGGCCAATGGTAGAGGCCCAAATCCTGAAATGTTCTGTGATTGGATATCATGTCTCTCATCAGAACACAGGGTCTTAGAATCCTTAGTCCAGTCTCAAGACAAACACAGAGCACTGAATGCATAACAGAAACTATCTTGGTCCACTCTGCTGTTTCTTCCACCTCCATAGTTACTCAAATCCCTTTCTTTCAACTGAAAGAAAGAGCTGTCATTTTCTCCTAGTGTCTTTCTCTCGATTTTGTAACTTGGATTGCTGTTTCCTTCGCCTGCCGTGGTTCCTGGGCTTTAGCAGCTATTTTGACCATCAAAATTTGGTGGCAAAGCCCTCCCAGGCAGCCACAAGTGGCAGTGATGGGTGGAAAGCTCACCCTGTGGTATTTCTGCCTGTCACACCACTCACTGAAAGGACGGGTCTAGTGTAGGAGGGGGCTGGGGAGCTGCCATCCTACGGTGCCATAGAAGTAGGAAAAGTGGGGTGTCGGTAGGACAACTAGGTGCTGTCCTTTCGTTAAAAATAAATAAATCATTAGCTGTACTTTTTCTTCCCCGCTCCACCTCCTGAAAATCCTTCCGCAACACATTATTAAAAGCACAGGAGCCTCATTTCCCCCTTTACACTTGGCCGGCCTACCAAACACGGCATTACAAAAACGGATTGCACGTTTCAAAACCACAGAGCAGTAACCATGGCGATTGACGTATTTCTGATTTCAGAAAACTTAAGCTATCGAGGGCCCCTTTTAACCGAGGCAGAGTATGCAAACGAGGGTTCGCCTTACAGGTCAGAAACAAGTACTGAATCGACTCCAGAGATCAGGCCAATAAGCGGCGCAGTGAAAAATCAATCCCTGGACTTGCCTTGACCTGCTTGGGATCCTTGGAGGTTTTCCATCTTCAGCTTCACTCAACAGATTGACAGAGAGGAAGGGAGCCCTATTATAGTGTGGAGATTGAATGTCATCTTTTTAGTAGGTCAGGGACATGCCTGGATGTAGCTCTGAACACATCTGGCCGGTGGCGGAGTGGCAAAATTCAAAGTGTGGGAGCACATCATTATAGCCATTATAACCAGGCCAGCAAGGAGACAGTTGAGTTGATTCATTGTTGTTTGGGATGGGGGTTGGAAATTCAATTAAGTTGGCTCTTTAAATGCAAACCTGCCCAATTCACATTTTTCAAAATGATGTGCAAGCAGCCAGATCCATTTGCACTTCTCCAAATTTGAAAATGCAGTTCTTCAGCCAAGTAATGTGTCAAAAAATGCATGTATTAGGGTAAAACATGCAGAAATATGCAAGTATTTGTGATAATCATAGAAAACTGCACTATATTGAGGGGGGAACTGGTTTGCAAAAATGCGTGCATTGGGCGAAATCACATACAAAAATTAGGTTTCTTAGGATGAATTCGCACAAAAAATGCTGCTGAATCTTCACAGCGATTTTTGAAAAAGTGCAAATTGCCAAAGAAATGTGGAGAGCCGTAATTTAAGATTAGAAAAATGAGAGCTTGAGAAAACCCAAAGTGACAGATCTGACCATCTCTAGTTGCTGCAAAATGTCCAACAGCAACAGGAGGAAACTGTGTTTATTACCCCTGGTGTAAGTCCTGAGACTATCAACGTGTTTTATGAATGATCTCAGACAGACAGGCTGGGATTTATACATGCAGGCTTTGTCCAGGCCTCTGAGAATGCCATGGTCTTAGCCTGGGACCAAACGATGTGGCTTATGGGTGGTGTGTGGGCAGGGACAGAATAAGACCTTTAGGGGCCCTAAGCACTTAAAAGATTTTGGTGCCCCCATTAGGGCTGCCATAGATCCAGAGTTTCCCAGACATAGCCTGGATTCGTCCATCAAAAACCCAGGTGCATGGCAGCCCATACGGGAAGTGCAGATTTTTTTGGAGAAAAGCTCAACAACTTTGCCAAAAAAAGCTTGTGTCCGGATTTTCACTTTTTGAAATATGGCAGCCCTAGTCCCCATATTTATCTAATTCAATATATACACTGTAAAATCATTTCCCACCCCCACCCCCCGAAATGAAATGAAACCTACAGTAAGATGGGAAATAATGCTTATTTTTGTATTTATATTTTAGGGTGGAAATTCCCCTACTTTTTCTAATTGCAAAGCCTTTGATCAGGTCCTCAAAACTAATATTACATAACACATCTGCTTCTAGAGTTAGCAAAGATAAGGCATGCCTTGTTTCATAGTTGTTCTGTTGGGATTTTTAATGTACTTCAACGGAGAAAAAGAATGCTCAGCTGAGCAATTTGTGATCATTAGTGTTAAAAATCCGGCAATGGAATGTTTCTGTGGTGCCCCCCCCTTTTTTTCTTGATCCCTGTGTTTATTTCGCTTAATGGTTAATTCAATCCTGCGTATGGGTGCTTAAATCTCTTCTGGAATGAAAGAGGCAGGGTGGATGTGCAACAGCAGCCTCTGCAATTGGCTGGCAGTGTGACTGTATATGCTTTATGGGGGGGGGGTGTCATGTGAGATGTTTCAGCTTCTCCCCAGCCATCTTCTGCCCCTCATTGCCCCACCATCTCTCATCCAGCCTCAGTCCTTGGATACAATCGCCCAGCCCAAACTTTTTCCTCTGTGCTTGCAGAGGCCTCTTTGCATCTAATCTGTTGTTGTTTTTTATAATATTTTATTAAGTTTTCTTTCCAACAGTTAGAAATTTATAGAATAAAGAATAAAGAATGAAGATAAAAAGAGAAAGAGATACATAGAAACCAACTTTCCAAAATATTTTTGCCATTCCAACTGGACTTCCCCACATCTTCCGAACCCTGCGTTCTTTGCAATTAAAACATCAGCAATTTGTTACCTTATTTCATATCTTACTGTATCTTTCAAATACTATGTTTCTAAGTTCAAAATACTGTATCTCCGTTATTTGTACCTTAAAAATAAACATAGTATAGTTATTTCATATTGTCCACCTCGTCTTTCTTATAACTTACCGTAGTTTCCAATTCACCTATTCAAGTTGCTGAAGCAAAAGTTTCCTAATCGTACACATTCTTAACATTCATACAGCTTATAATGTTTTTGCAAATAGTCCTTAAATTTTTTCCAGTCTTCCTCCATTATTTCCTCTCCCAAATCTCGGATTCTGCCAGTCATTTCAGCCAATTCCATGTAGTCCATCAACTGCGTCTGCCATTCCTCCAGCGTGGGTAAATCTGGTGTCTTCCAGTACTTTGCGATGAGGATTCTTGCTGCTGTAGTAGCATACATAAACAAAGATCTATCCTTCTTTGACACCTTCTGGTCCACCATGCCCAGGAGGAAGGCCTCTGGTTTCTTAGGAAAGGTATATCTAAATACCTTTTTTAACTCATTGTAAATCACTTCCCAGAAGGCCTTCACTTTTGGGCAGGTCCACCAGAGATGAAAGAATGTCCCTTCCGCCTCTTTACATTTCCAACATTTGTTATCAGACAGGTGATATATCTTAGCAAGCTTGACTGGGGTCATGTACCACCGGTATATCATTTTCATAATGTTTTCCTTCAAGGCATTACATGCCGTGAACTTCATTCTGGTGTTCCATAACCTTTCCCAGTCCTCAAACATAATGTTGTGCCCAATATCTTGTGCCCACTTTATCATGGCGGATTTTACTGTCTCATCCTGTGTGTTCCATTTAAGCAGCAAGTTGTACATTCTCGAAAGTATCTTAGTTTTTGGTTCTAACAGTTCAGTCTCTAATTTCGATTTTTCCACCTGGAAACCAACTTTTTTATCAATTTTAAAAACCTCTTGAATTTGAGCATAGTCTTTGCATCTAATCTGGAGCTGTTTTTCACTCTAGCAGTCAGCTAGACACCACCCTCCAAAATGGTCCTTACAATTTTTATGGTCAGGCAATGATACTATTACGTTGTGCTGGGCCCGGGGGTAACCCATGAAACACGGTCCAGAACCGGTCCAGAATCCAAAGGGTCCGCTGGGAGTCAGCCTGACACAGCCAAGGACATGAGGCAGGAAACCAGGCACGGACAGATACAGGATCTCAGGCAAGATCTGGCATACAGCAATGTTGCTCCTGCAATCTGGGGCAGGGTCCGATAACCTTTTATCTTTGTCGGGGTAGCGGCTGGTCCTGATCCCCCAGCGACTCACCTCCCTGTTTCGCCCGAAGGCGAGCACTCCTCCTGCGAGTACTCAGGTCTCTCCTTCTCTCAGACCTGAGTCTCTGCAGCTCAGGAGACGTCGGTGGGTGAGTAAACCCAGGAGCCGCCTCAGCCTCCCCTGACCAAACCTGTAGTGGAGCAGCTGTAAGTGATGTCCCAGCTGAAGGCAACGAGGTAATCCTCACCTCTGGAGCCAAGGCAGGCTCAGGCCCCTGACTCAGCCCAGCTGGTGTTTGTTGCAGGGGAACCTGAGCAGACTGGGGCTCTTCAGGATCAGGCCCCAGACTTGGTTCAGATGATGCCTGAGGCAAAGGATCTGGTGCAGACTGATTCTCCTCTGGTTCCAAGTCTGAGCCAGAGTCCCAGGCCATCACACCCATATGTAAAGCTGGCCTTACTGATAGTGGATGTCTACTGCACATGTCAGCAATAGTTGTTTCCTGCCTTCCACTTCTGTAACATACTGATTAACTTTCTTGCTTTCTTTCCCTGCCCTGCCCCCCCCCCCGCCTCCCACAGTAAAAAAGAGAGAGAGAGAAGCAAGGGAGGCGAGTGGGGAAATGGAGTTGCCAGAGTCTCCAGAAAAATGCACAGAGAGTGAAATCGGCGGTTGTCTTCCCAAAGATTCTCCGCCCTTGAGTCAGCAAGGAGAAAACGAGCCCAAAAACTTCATCAGGGGTATCAGAGAAGCGCTGAGCTTCAGGGGAAACGCATCGAAACTGGCCAAAGAGAAACTGGCTGAAGCTAAAATGGATGGAGATAAAACAGAAATAAGCGGGAGGAATGGTAAATTGGAAGTGCCATCACAGCCGGAGTCTCCAGCGAAAAGTGAGGAGAGTGAAGGTGCACACTGTCCTCCCGAAGACTGTCCATCCTTGCATAAACAAGGAGAAAACGAGCCAAGAAACTTCATCAGGGGTATCAGAGAAATGCTGAGCACCAGGAAAAGAAAGTCTCAAAGTCTCAAAGAGCAATTAAGTGATACTAACACGGATGGGCTTAGAACAGAAACAAGAGAGACTGATGGGGAAATGGAGCCAGCGGCAGAACCAAAGTCTCCTGCAAAACACATGGACGGTGAAGAGGCATCGAAATCTGCCAAAGAGAAATCTACTGAAGTCAACATGGGTGAAGATAAGGCAGAAATAAGGGAGGCAGACGGGGAAATGGAGCCGCCATCAGAGTCAAAATCTCTGGCAAAACATACGGAGGGGAGTGAAGATGGCAAGCGCCTTCCCAAAGAAAAGGAGCCCCAAAACATCAATAAGATGATAAGAATGAGCTTGAGGAAAGGTAGATCAAAATCTCTCAAAGAGAAATCGGTTGAACCTAAACTGGATGAAACTAAAACAGAAACGAAGGAGAAGGAAGAGGAGGAGAAAATGGAACCTTCAGTGAACCACACAGAAGGAGAAGGTGACAATTTGTTGTTGTCAATTGTTTTTAATGCTGTAACCTGCCTTGGGACCTTAGGGTGAAGGGTGGGAAATCAATCAATCAATCAATCAATCAATCAATCAATCATTGTCTTCCCAAAGGTTATCTGCACCTGAGTCATCAAGGAGAAGACGAGCCAAAGAAATTCAAACCAATTCGGAGCTTGAGCTTGATGGGAAGTGCATCAAAACCTGTCAAAGAGCAATCAGCTGAAGAAGCGGACCCCTCCAGGTCCAGCAAGTCTTTTTCATTCTTAAAGAAAAAAAAGACCAGCCTTCCGAAGGAGTGTAAGGAGCCTGACGAAGAAGAAGACCATGTTCAGAACGAACCACTGTCTGGTAAGAAACTGAAGATACTGTTGCTTGATGTTGTTTTTCTGGGTTGTTGTGGATGGCAAGACTTGAAAACAGGTGTACAGTTCTTTCAGCATATCACAATACAGGGCATGTTTACATGCCAAATCAAATATTGAAACTGAGTTGAGTGCTGGTGCCTTCCTTGTAAATTGGGTCAATGACATTTATCAGGTACCCCTACTGAACGAGACTCAATGGGTGTCCATCAGAAGCAGGGACTTTTGGGTGGTGGTGCCATCCTGACCACCGGCTGTGTTGTTTCATGGATCTCAGGGCCCTGTACCGTTCAGCCCCCTTTACTTCTTGTTCACATATCAACCTAGGGAGGATGGTTAGATCTGAAAGATACTGCTCTGAGAGGTCACAGTCAGCTTTCTGGATGAGCAGGGAACTGAACCCAGGTGTCCCTCAGCTATTATAATTTGTGGGAACGACAATTAGGAGATTTGTTTTCTTGCTTATAAGTGCCTCTTGGACGCTGCTTTTGCTTGCTTTCAGTTTTGCGTGAGTCTCTTTTTATCTGCCGGAATGTGCTCTGTGCTTGTTTCAACTTTGCCTTGAAAGGAAAATTGGTAAATTAATTGGGGTCAGCCACTTTTTCGAAATCTAATCTTCAGCGCCTGCCAGAGCCCAAACTCTCTGTCAGCGGTATTTTGGTACAAGTCGTTACTAGCCAGCTGCCTTCGCTCACATCACACACAGAGGCACGACGCAAATCATTTCTGTGCATGTGAACTACACAACCGCAAAGTGCAGAGCAGGAATTTAACTGGGCCATGATGGGAGCAGTCTCTCATTACCCTGCAGAGTTTTATCAATCTCCGTCTTGTCCTTTCTTAGCCATCTTTTTCTGAACACAAAAGCTTTCAGTACAGGGGTGAACAACCCCAGGCCTGGGGGACAAATCCAGCCCTCTGGCCTGCTCCATCTGCCCATTGGACTCTCCTCAGGCCACATACCTGCTCCAGGCCTCCTTCTCACTCCCCATAAGAGTTTCTGTCTCTCTGGAATGTGTTCTTGAACTCTGATAATGACTCTGGCAGGGGACTAAATAGTACAGTCGCCTCCCTTGCATCCTCATTGTGAGCTTTCCCGTCTTGCTGTGACTGTCAGTTTGCATTTTTAGTGCAGAAAGTATTGATCTGATGTGTAGAGATCTTTCCTATTCTTCTTAATTCAAGAGGGTTCTGGAAGCTTCTCTGTGTGAAGAAACAAGCAGAAGGTTCATGATGTTTGGGTTTGTGATGGCCTGGGATTCGGATTCAGATGCTGAACCTGAGGAATCCCAGCCTGCACAGGACCCCCCGCCTTCAGAACTAGCTGAGCCGGGGCTGGGGCATGAGCCTGAAGGGTCCTCACCTGTGCTGGATCCAGTGGCGTAGCGTGGGTTGTCAGCACCCGGGGCAAGGCAAGTAATTTGCGCCCCCTAACCCGTGGATTTGCGCCCCCTAACCCGTGGATTTGCGCCCCCTAACCTGTGGATTTGCCCTAACCCCAGATGTTGCGCCCAGTGCGGCCGGCCCCCCCTGCACCCCCCACGCTACGCCACTGGCTGGATCCTCAGGTGCAGGCACCAGCTGAGTCTCCTCTGGCCCCTGAGATGATGGAGGACCCATTGCCTGCAGGTGCTCCACTCTCAGCCCCATCAGGGGAAGCTGGGGTTGCCTCTGGGTCCAGTAACCCTCCAGCCTCTCCTGAGCTGCAGAGGCTCAGGGCAGAGAGGCGGAGGGAATTAAGTTCCCACAGGAGGAGTGCTCGCCTCCAGGCCAGGAGAGGCGAGTCACCTGAGGATCAGGGCTGCCCTATGCCTCGGGGCAGATAAAAGCTGGCAAATTTAGTGTTTCTGCGCATGCGTGAGTGCCAAAACCTAGAAGTAACCCGTTCCGGTACTTCCGGGTTTGGTGCAGTGCGCAACCCGAAAACACGTAACCTGAAGTGTCTCTAACCCAAGGTACCACTGTATGTAGTGTTGAGGTTTAGACTTATTATAAGTTATTGTAAGTTTAAGTTAAGTCTGCTGCAACTGGACCTCTTATGGGCAGTGTCAATCCTGAATATACTGGATTTGTGACCATTATGTTCATTTGCCTTCAGTAGCAGTAAAGCTCTGCTGGATGAAATATTAATTGCCTCTGGTCTATTTTTTTGGGAATCCTGCAACGTATTTAAGTTTTTACTCTGCTAACTATGCATTAGAGTTCTGCTTTGGATCAATATTGAATAGAATTCCATGACAGTGACTTCCTCGCAAATCATTTTGAGGACAAAACCGCTTGCATCCACTGTGATCTTGACTCCACTGTTACAGCAGATAAATATCATGAGGTATGCAGAGCACTGTCCATGGCTGGGTCTACATTGATCTTTTAAACATTATTATCATTTTAAAATGTCACAGGCATTCCCTTACCTTTAACACATGGTTTCCCAATTGCCAGCAGCTGTTTACTGCATTCTTAATGTTATTGGGAAAACATAATTTGCCCTTATACAGTATGTTATGAAAACCATTCCTAAAGCTCCCTTAATGTTATAAACCATGAGTGTAGATCTGCCCTAGTCCTGTTGTGTTGGATGAGTTTCAGTTAGCAAGGCTCAGGGATGTGGAGAAGGTGCTTGGACTGGTTAGGGCAACCACTGGCACTCTTAGCTGATAAAAACTAGCAAGGAGGGGACAGCTGGCTGGGCCAGGGAAGTGATTAAGGATTCCTTGTGAGGTGGGTTGGTCCCTGCCTACCTGAATGAGGCAGTGGTAAGACCACTCCTCATGAAACCTCTCTGGATTTGGAAAATCTAAGTAATTACCAGCCAATATCATAACACCAGTCCTGAGAGATCTGCATTGGCTCCCAGTACATTTCCGAGCACAATTGAAAGTGTTGGCGCTGACCTTTAAAGCCCTAAACGGCCTCAGTCCTGTATACCTGAAGGAGCGTCTCCACCCCCATCGTTCTGCCCGGACACTGAGGTCTAGCGCCGAGGGCCTTCTGGCGGTTCCCTCGCTGCGAGAAGCTAAGTTACAGGGAACCAGGCAGAGGGCCTTCTTGGTAGTGGCACCTGCCCTGTGGAAGATGTGAAGGAATTAAGCAGCTATCTTATCTTTAAAAGACATCTGAAGGCAGCCCTGTTTAGGGACGTTTTCAAATATTTAATGCTGTATTGTTTTTAACACTCGATTGGAAGCTGCCCAGAGTGGCTGGAGAAACTCAGCCAGATGGGTGGGGTATAAATAAATTATTATTATTATTATTATTATTATTATTATTATTATTATTATTATTATCATTATTTCTCCCCTTTGGGGGAAGGTTTCTTGAGCGGGTGGTCTTTAATCAGATCCAGGCACTGTTGGGGGAAACTGATTTTCTAGATCCATTTCAATCAGGGTTTAGGCTCAGTTTTGCCACAGAAGCTGCTTTTGGTTCTCCTCAACCTCTCAGCTGCTTCTGATGCCATCAACAATGGTATCTGAAAAACAACATCTGGAGGTCCACAGGTTTCCTCATGTCTGGAATAGATGGACCTTCAATGTGATCCAGCAAGTCTCTTCACTTGCACTTATGAACTGGTTAGGCTTGGACATCTCCCTCCAATAAAACTTATTATTAATAGCAGAATTGTTTTGGGGGTAAAAACAATGTCAGAATAGAAGGAAGGAAATACAAACTTTTCATTCCAGTAGAAAATTTGCCACCTGTATTTGGGGAAGGAGAACCTGCAAGCCCTTCAGAAGTTCTTGGACATGGTCAATGGCCAGGGAAGATTAGAACTGTAGTCCTGGAATCACTGAAGGTCCACAAGTTCCCCACAGCTGCTGTAAAGGATTAAAGCAGTAGTTTTCAACCAGTGTGCCATGGCACCCTGGGATGCCTGGAATGGTAGTCAGGGATGTCGCAGGCAACACTGGCCTCTGTCCCTCTTTCCTTCCCTCCCTCCTCTGATGCCCTCCCAAAGGCTTGTACAGCTGCTTATTGCAGCAGCCCTGGCTACAAGCTCCGCAGGCGAATGGTGCCTCGGGGCTGATGGTTGCCAGGAGCTGAGGCAGCCTTGAAGTAAGCAAGCAAGTGGGCAAGGAGCCCAGCCAGCCACTCCACCAGCCCTTCCTGCTGGGAATGAACAGACAAGTAAGTCCCAGGCCCCTGTGGGGCAGTGTGAGGAGGCACCTCTCTTTGAGATGAGGGGGCAGCTCAGAGACCAGGGGTTGCAGCAGCTGCTGCCCAGAGGACTCCTGAGGAGAGGAGAGGAGGCTGAGGGAAGATTCTAGAAGGGAGGGTGCCCGAAAAAGGGCAAGAGGCTGCCAGCTTTGCAGGCAAGGGGTGACATAACATGGCTCCTGAGCCCCACAAGTGCGCCGCAGAAAGAATGCAGTTGGTCAAAGGAGCTGTGGAGTCGAAAAGGTTGAAAACCTCTGGATTACAAGGAGCCAGCCTGGTGTAGTGGTTAAGAGCGGTGGACTCGTAATCTGGTGAACCGGGTTCGCTTCCCCGCTCCTCCACATGCAGCTGCTGGGTGAGCTTGGGCTAGTCACACTTCTCTGAAGTGTCTCAGCCTCGCTCACCTCACAGAGTGTTTGTTGTGAGGGAGGAAGGGAAAAGGAGAATTGTTAGCCGCTTTGAGACTCCTCAAGGGGAGTCAAAGTCGGGATATCGTCCAAACTACTACTATACTACTACTGCTCTTCTTCCTCTTCTTCTTCTTCTTCTTCTTCTTCTTCTTCTTCTTCTTCTTCTTCTTCTTCTTCTTCTTCTTCTCTTGAGAACACAGAAATAGTTCTATAACTCCTTTTATTCTTGTTCTGTATGAAAGATCCACCTCCTGTGGTGAGACAATAGACAAAGCATCTTGTTTAGGTTTCGTTTTATGCAACAGAGCATGAGTGGGACACCTCTGGCCCTCCAGATGTTTATTGACTCCAGCTCCCATCAGCACAAGCCAGCTTGGCTAATGGTCAGGTATTTGGGGGCTGGAGTCCAGCAACAAGTAAGAGGTCACAGGTTCCTCACCACTGCTCCAGAGGAACTATTCCAAATTATTTCTGAAGAGGAAAACATGCAGTAGATGTGGCTTGCTCTCACACTCCATTTCTCTCTTTAGTTATGCAGATAAATGAACTTATTAAAAATGGGCAACTTCTAGAAGCCTTCAAAAACATCAAGGGTTTAGAAAGGGAGCTTCTGGCTGAAATAGATGCCAAGAAATATGAAGACAACCCCAAGGGATGCATTGTGAAGGCCAAGGACATCGACTTGCTCTACGACTTGGTTTCTAAGGCCATCCAGCGCATCGTGGAGGAAACCCTGGAGCTTCCCAGGGTAGATGCAAAGGCTTTAAACACTCTTGTGACTCTGATCGCAGAGGAAGAAAAAGCCCATGCTGGGGCTACAAGCATCGCTGCCTCATCCGAGGCTGTGTCCAACCTTGGGTTAGCCAGGAACTGGAGGCAGCTTTGGGAAGACGCTGTCAAGCGAAGTGTGGAAACCAGGGTCTCAAAAAGTGCCTGTGCCACTGAAGGAGGACAACACCTCTTGGCTGTCGATACACTTAGGATATCTCAAAGAAGTCGTAAGAACAGATTTGTTGACAATCAAACACTGGGTACACAAATGCTATCCACCAGAATACAGTGTGGGCGATGCATACCTGAAGGCTTTCCACAAAGCCCTCTCTTTGCACTTACAAAGCATCCTGGAAGAAGATGAGAGCCTGGGATGCAATCAATTCTATGCAGTACTCAACTGGGTCACTAATGTATACCACAGGTAGGTTTCCCATTAATCACATGATGGTTAGGAAAAGGTAAAGGAGCCCTGGATGGTTAAGTCTCAGATATTGTTTGGTCCATGTCACAAGCTATCGGTGCTGCAGTGTTCAGTAAAAAGGTAAAGGTAAAGGACCCCTGGACAGTTAAGTCCAGTCAAAGGCGACTATGGGGTTGTGGAGCTCATCTCGCTTTCAGACCGAGGGAGCCAATGTTTGTCCACAGACAGCTTTCTGGGTCATGTGGCCAGCATGACTATATAACTTCTGGCCCTACGAGACACTGTGACAGAAACCAAAGTGCACGGAAATGCTGTTTACCTTCCTGCCACAGCGGTACCTATTTATCTACTTGCACTGGTGTGCTTTAGCCATTTCCAACCTGGGAGGAGAGGGGGTTGCGGGCTAAACCCTCCCACACACACGCGGGGGCTGGCCTTTGCCCCCGCGTGAACAGGGAATCCCCGGGCGTGCCTCCGACCCAGCCCGCCAATCAGCGGGTCGCGGAGGTGGGGCATAGCCTATTTAAGCCCAGGCAAGCCCGGGGACCGCCCTCTTTTCCCCTTGCCAGCTGTGAGGTTTTCGTTGCTGTTTGGGAGCCGTTGCGAGCCTCACCTTCTGCCTCGTGCTTGGCTTCACCCCGACGGAGCTAAATCACTAAGGAGACCACGGTCTCCACTAGAGCTGAAATCACTTTTGCTGGGGTGCCAGCAGAAAGAAGGTTGGGAGACTCCAACGGCTCCGTGGGAACTTTCCGCTTTGCTTACTTGCGCGTGGAGGACACTTACCTTGTCAGTTTGGGAGTCGTAGGAGGATCCTGCCACAGCGGTACCTATTTATCTACTTGCACTGGTGTGCTTTTGAACTGCTAGGTTGGCAGGAGCTGGGACTGAGCAACGGGAGCTCACCCCGTCGCGGGGATTCGAACCGCTTGAGCTTCCAATCAGCAAGCCCAATAAGCTCAGTGGTTTAGACCACAGCGCCACTCATGTCCATGTGATTTCCATGTGATCAAGATGCAGCAGGATTGTACCGCTGACCCCTCCCATGTGCTTGTGTGGATTCCTCCAGCCTCCCCTTCATATTTTTGTTACCCTGGAATCCAGTAATTACCAGGACATCATTGGAGGCTACAGAGTCACTGGCTAATGAAAATGAACCTGGTTCCTGGCTCTAGGTCTGATGCTGGTAATCTGCTTTGTGCGTCTCTACATTTTGTAAAGCTGTCCTTAAAATTTTTTAAAAAAAAATACAAAACACTATGCTACAAAAAAGTGCACACAAAAAGCATGTAAAATTATTATTATTATTATTATTATTATTATTATTATTATTATTATATACTGCCCTTCATCCAAAGATCCCAGGATAGTTCACAACAGAAAAATACAAAATGAGAATACAGAATAATAAAACAAAAACAAGCCAATAACCCTTCTCCCACAAAAAACATTTTAAAAGCCATAGATTTGTAAAACGTGTATGTTAGTGACAATAACACACCAAAATGAATTAGATTAGGTGACAACCCAGCTGCTGCTCTCCTTTCCTTTAAGGTGATGGGAGGGAAAGACTTTGCCAAGACCAGTTAGGTATTTCTGTAAGCCAGATTCTGTCCACAGGCTTCTGGACGAAGGTCCCAGATGTAGAAACATCATGGAATGCTGTTTTTGTTTTTGTAGTGAAAATCTCTTAGGATGCCCAGACCTTAAACCAGAAATAAAAACTGAAGCTCTGCCGGATTTGTTAACTTCAGAAGATTTAAACAAACTGAAGAGCAACTACGTAACTCTGTCCAGGTAACATCTCAATTTCCTTGTATAAATCAAAGGAGAGGGTGGGGAAGTTTGCATCGCTGACTGAATCCTTTGAAATTGAACACGTGCTGCTTTTTACAGTAGTACCTTCAGGTTAAGTACTTAATTCATTCCGGAGGTCCGTACTTAACCTGAAACTGTTCTTAACCTGAAGCACACTTTTAGTTAATGGGGCCTCCTGCTGCTGCCACGCCGCCGGAGCACGATTTCTGTTCTCATCCTGAAGCAAAAGTTCTTAAACCTGAAGCACTATTTCTGGGTTAGCGAAGTCTGTAACCTGAAGCATATGTAACCTGAAGCGTATGTAACCCGAGGTACCACTGTATTCCAGACTGTAGCATTCAATCCCCACTTCCTTCGGAATGAAGTGATCGGCTTAGAAAATAAATGCATTTATGAATGGGATCCAAAGGCCCCTTAAACTTCCACAGGAGCAACGCATTATTTGTTGAATGGAGATTCCTTGTCTACTTCCTGGTTTACATATAGGGATGGGGGAAATTCAATTCAATTATCATTTAAAGGCAAACCTATCCAGTGCTTACTTTCTGAAATAACACAGTAGGACATAATCTCCAACATTTCTCCGATGAAAATAGGGATGCAAGGAAGCACTGAGATGTGAGTGTGAGCTCTTTTCATCAAAGCCCCATGACGGGTTCCATTCAGTGTGCAGTTTTGACTAATGTACACATTCTTGGAAGCAATTTCTCCTAATATAATGCAACCTTTGTGCATGATTTTCCCTTTACCCTAATAATATGCATTTTATACACATTACTTGCCTGGAGAATTGCATTGCTAAATTCGGCAAATTCTGAAGGATGGCTGTGTTTTGTGGTTCAACATATCGTTTCCAAAAGGGAAGATTTGAATGGTTTGTCTTTAAATGCGGACCGAATTGAATTCTCACCCACCCACCCACACTTAGCGGTGGGCCAACCTGTTTTGCAAGGCAGTTTCTCTGCCCTTGCTGATTTTTGTGATTCGAGGACCCGATCCCCGCTTGGGAAATAAAGACACGTGGACACGGTATATTAGGTTAATGGGCAAGAAAAGGCCACAACTTTATTGATTACAGCATGTGAGAAGGTATTGGCTTAGGCACTGGACCACGGACAAAAGACTCCACCCACTGGGAGAGGGGTGAGTCTGAAGAGGGGGTTAACCACCAGTCGGGGGAGCCTGTTGATGCTAATAGAACTATAAGCTCTCCCCTGATGTCACCGAGGGTCGTGCCATGGCCCCCCGCCACACAGGCATCGGACAGGATCCACGACTGCCGGATTCCTTTAATGGAATACCCAAAATTGAAGGGGTAGGCGATGGCCACACCTTGCCCTTCCACACACCAACATCACATTCCAATGCCTAACCGTCAAATACCACAAAAGTTGTGATGATTGCTACGAGGTAGGCAAAAAAACCAAGAGGCAGGTGCCAATTAAATCGCCAATTGGAAAAAAAAAACCTCCTACCAGGCAACCAGGGCGACCAACCATGGGTCCATAGCAAGGTCAAGGGAAAAGCTAAGCTCTAAAGGGAGTGGTGGGACACGGGTGGCGCTGTGGGTAAAAGCCTCAACGCCTAGGGCTTGCTGATCGAAAGGTCGGCAGTTCGAATCCCCGCGGCGGGGTGCGCTCCCGTTGCTCGGTCCCAGCGCCTGCCAACCTAGCAGTTCGAAAGCACCTCCGAGAGCAAGTAGATAAATAGGGACCGCTTACTAGCGGGAAGGTAAACGGCGTTTCCGTGTGCGGCTCTGGCTCGCCAGAGCAGCGATGTCACGCTGGCCACGTGACCCGGAAGTGTCTCCGGACAGCGCTGGCCCCCGGCCTCTTGAGTGAGATGGGCGCCCAACCCTAGAGTCTGTCAAGACTGGCCCGTACGGGCAGGGGTACCTTTACATTTTTAAAGGGAGTGGTGGGTGGGTGACTCGTAGCAAGATGTGAGCGCAATGGTGTGAAATGGCTGGCGCAGCCGCATTTGAGCGGCAAACCAGGCCCCCTCTGCGCTTCCCAATTGGGTGCCCAATCGGGGGCGTGGCGCGCCAGCCATGAGGACGGGGCAGGGGGCAGAACGCCCCCTGCATGACGCGGGAATCGTCTCCCGCTCACAACACCTCCCCTCCAGGAGGAGGAGAGGCCTTCTCAAGCAGCAGAACTTGACTGGCTTCCAAAGCATCTTTTTGGACCCATTTTGAAAACAATTTTGCTGGAGACCTACAGGGAACTGGATGCATGTGCATAAAAGAAGTGTCTGCATATATGATTATGTTGATCTGTGTTGTTCCCCTTTATCTAAATATTTAGCAGGAAACCAAGAACTGCTTGGAGAATATTTTGATGCTGGAGACCAAGGAAAAGTGGAAAGGAGAGCCAGATGAGCGGAAAAACCCATACGATTCGTCGCTGTCCTACGATATTCAAACGGTATTTGCTGAGACTGTTCATAGCACATGCATGTTCTTTGATTCCAGGGAAATTGAAATATTACCTTCTGGTATGTAGGTGTCGCCTACTGTGCTAATTTATGTTAGTCACGTCCTCGGGAGAATGTATTAGCAAAATGTAGTTTTATTACAATTTTTAACACTGCCACCCCTCGCTTCCTAGCTACAAATTAAACCTGCTGTCAATTGTGTCACAGACATAATAGGCAACTGATTTTTAGAGCCTTTTTAGAAGGAAGGAGGGAGTGCAGAGAACAGGGTTGTTACAAAAAGACATTTGGTGGGGAGAAACCGCTTGCTACTAGGCCTGCGGCAGCCTTGAAAAAAGAGAAAGGAGGAGGGAGAAATTGGGGGTGAGGTGTGTGACCACAGCAGAATGACAACCTCCCACATTTAAAGAGAGAGAAAGAAAAGCCCCTGCTAGATTTGGGGATTGGGACATCAATGAAGCCAGGAGGAACTCATATTTTTGCAATTTGCAACGGGTTGAGTCATTTCAGTTAAATAAAATGCAAAAGAAATAATAAACCCATATTGAGAGAAAATAAACTTTAAGGTGAGGTGTTTTGGAGGGAGTGCTTTTTGTTCTGCTGTCATTACGAACGTTTCATGGGAGCATTATATGTTTTCAATAATCAAAAAGTATATGGATTAGCAGAAGTGTTGGGAATTTTGTAAGGGGGTGCAGCAATTGCCTTTGTGTCCTGTTTGCTTCCTCAACCTCGGCCCTCCGGACGTTTTGAGACTACAGTTCCCATCATCCCTGACCACTGGTCCTGCTAGCTAGGGATCATGGGAGTTGTAGGCCAAAAACATCTGGAGGGCCGAGGATGAGGAACCCTGATGTTAGTTAAGGCATGGCCATCCCTCAGGAATCGCAATAACACAGGCCTGCTGGTAGGGATGGGGTTTCCGTTTGCATTTAAAGGCAACCCTGCTTAATTCACACTTTCTGAAATAAAACGAGATCCTTCAAAAATTGCACTTCTCAAAAGCTACACCCCACATACTTTTTTAAACCTTTCCTTGACCATTTGCCTATGAAAAAACGATGAGGTGTTTTACTACCCCAGTCGGTTAAAATTCTGGCAAATAGATTTCCCTTGCCTCACCCGGGTCATTCTTGCTTCCTCTTTGCAAAATGCAAGCTCTGGCATGTTCTGTGTCTGTCACACCTGGAAAAACCATTGAGGTGCCCATTGTACTCATCAAACAAAGCCATTGCCTCTCTGCTTTTGGTTACATCCCTTGTCCCCTTTGGTCTAGCTCGCCAAACAACACAGAAAGGTAGCCGGCTGCATTTGCGAAGAAGTGGAAGACGCCGTTCTCAAAGGTATCGTGAAAGAAGTGACAGAATTCCTACCACGGTAATGTCTGCTTCTTTCAAAGTCCCAGTGTCTAAACTGGATCATGTTTTATGCTTAATGGTTCTAGCAAATAGGCATGATGGAAAAGCATCAGCTGTTCTGAGGACGCAGCTCAGAGGCTTTAGCTCAAGTGCAGAGGCAAATGTTTCCTCTTCAAATGAATCCAAATTCTGACTCTGACATCGCCAGCAAAAAGAACTTCAGACGGCCAGGGTTCAGACTAAATAGGAAGAGGACAAAAATCTTAACAAAGAATTTGACCACGGAGGACAAAACTCAATTGGAACAAAGAACCGGTATAAAAATTGTGAATAAGGTAAAATATTTGGGAATTTGGCTGTCTCCAAAAAATATAAATTTGGTAGAAGATAATTATGATAAGATTTGGCAGGAAATAAAAAAAGATCTGGACATCTGGCAGAGGCTGAAGCTCTCATGGACGGGGAGGATTGCGGCGATTAAAATGTGCATCCTCCCAAGATTATTATTTCTGTTCCAAAATATTCCGATAATTAAAGGCACCACCCGTTTTAGGAACTGGCAAAGAATTATGACTAAGTTCATTTGGCAGGGGAAGAGAGCTAGGATAAGGCTTAAATACTTGACAGATGCAAGAGAGAGGGGCGGATTTGCAGTACCGAATATTAGGTTATATTATGAGGCAGCTTGTTTAAGCTGGTTAAAGGAATGGGCCACCCTTAGGAACACTGATCTATTGGACTTGGAGGGTTTTGATATTAGGTTCGGGTGGCACGCCTATCTGTGGCAGGGGAAAGGTGAGATTCATAGAGGGTTCTCTAATCACATAATCAGAGGTTCACTATTGGAGGTGTGGAACAGATATAAAAAACTGATTGAAGAAAGGACCCCTTGGTGGCTCTCCCCAGTGGATATTGTTAAAATAAAAAAACCGAATATGATGGGAGAAAGATGGACCTATGAGGACCTCTTAACTAAGACAGAAGAAGGTTGGAAGGTGAAACCTTATGAGTTGAAAGAAAAGATAAAAGAATGGTTCCACTACCACCAGATTAATGCACTGTGGAGTGAGCACAAGAAACAGGGGATGAGTGATAAAAAATCAAGATTCCAGATAGAAATCCTAGAGAGTAATGATAAACACCTCTCTAAATTATATAAACAACTATTAGAGTGGGATACTAGGGAGGATATGGTGAAGGGCGTGATGGTGAAGTGGGACAGGGATCTTGGATATAATATTGATTATAATAAATGGCAGACACTCTGGAGGAAGGGGATAAAATTTACAGCGTGCGCAACCCTCCGAGAAAACTTAGAGAAAATGATATACCGCTGGTATCTGACCCCAGTAAAGTTAGGCAAGATGTATAAAACTGTTGATAATAGCTGTTGGAGATGCAAAGAGAAGGTTGGGACTTTTTTCCACATTTGGTGGACCTGTGAGGCAGTGAAGGAATTCTGGGGAAAGATCTATGATGAACTGAAAAAAATTTTAAAATATAATTTCCCCAAGATACCTGAGTTGTTTCTTTTAGGTATGATTGGCGAGGAAATAAAAAAACCAGATCAAATCTTTTTCCAATCTGCGACTACTGCGGCGAGAATTCTAATTGCACAAAACTGGAAATCCCCTGATATGCCTACGGTTGGAGAGTGGCAAGTGAAATTATATCAATACATAGAATTAGCGAGATTAACACAGAAATTAAGGCAAAATAACTCTACGAAACTTAAAGATGAATGGAAGAAATTTTTAATTTATGTTGAGAACAATGTGGGTATTAGTAACATCACAGCAGAAGATGATTGATACCTCCGATGTTAAGTGTTATTGTAGGTTATACTGCAAATATTCTTTTATGATTGTGTAACCCTGGATCAAGTTGAACGGAAGTCTGTCTTCTGTTTTGTTCTTTCGTGTTTTTCCTTTCTTTTGCTTTTTCTTTTCTTTCTTTCTTTCTTGTTTTCCTTCTTTTTTCTTTCTTTCTTCTTTGCGGATTCGCAATCTCGTAATTTGCTTATTTTCTTTTCCTTCTTGTATACCTTTTAATGACATGCATATGTGCTCTTGGAGTTTGATATGTAATGTGAATCTTTTTTCTAATAAAGCTATATATATAAAAAAAAAAAAAGAACTTCAGACGGAAGAGCTGGAAAAGAAATCTGGGGCCTGTTTGGCCATCTCTGCAAATCACAATGTCCCCAGCACCAACTAGTAGTCAAATGCATATTGCTTCTTTAAGCATGAAGGACCCATTTTAGCTGACCTGGCTAAACATGATTGATAAAACTATCATCCAATAACTCCTCTGACTTTTATTTTATTTTATTTTTGTATACAATTTTTATTAAATGTTCTAAATTACATTTCAAAATAATAATTTAAACAACCTTAAACCAACAATGTTATTACAGCTTTGGGAAAGCATTTCTGGACCAAGCGAAAGATCACCCCCAGTTTCTGATGTTCATGATGGCCTACCTTAACAGCTTCCAGGACTTGAGGTAAACTTGTTTCCCCCCTCATCCTGTGTTTGAAGAGGAGATGTTGGACCAGATTTTAGGATTTAGCGCAGAAGGCAAATTGGTTGTGTTCGTTTGGACAACGGAACGTCCAGGGATCGTTTTGCAGGGAAAATGCAATTCCTCAGTCTCCACACATTGTGCTGGGTGGAAGTACCAGTATAAGGGGAACCTATCCAACAAAGGTAAATTAAGGTGTGACACAAGTTCCCTATGCCCATTTTACTGCCTTATAATTTCTTTTTAGAAAGCAGCCCTGCACAAAAATTACTAGTGTACCCCCCAAAAGATGAACCTGCCCACTGAGAGGCCAGTAACCCCAGTTTCCATTCAGGTTATGGAGATAGGAAAGTGGACACACACACACACACACACACACACACACACACACCAGCTTTCATACCCTCCAACATTTCTCCAATGAAAATAGGGGCATCCATTATTATTATTATTATTATTATTATTATTATTATTATTATTAATACACCACCCATCTGACTGGGTTGCCCTAGCCACTCTGGGTGGCTACCAACATACAGTATATAAAAACAGAATAAAACACTAAACGTTTTAAAACTTCCCAATACAGGGCTGCCTTCAGATGTCTTCTAAAGGTTGAATAGTTACTTATCTCCTTGGCTCAGGGGTCGGATAACTCCATAGCCTCCAACATCTCTCCAATGAAAATAGGGATGTCCTAAGGAAAAGTGGGACATTCCCGGATCAAATCAGAAACTGGGACGGCTTCTGTAAATCCAGGACTGTCCCTTAAAAATGGGGACACTTGGAGGGTGCATTCGCCCATAGTCACCATGGAAATCAATGCAATAAAAACTAACATGCAATAGCAAAGACAAGAGAGACAAAAACACGTTACCATCTTACAGCCGTTCACAATCTATGTAAACACAAAATATAACTAAAAGCATTAAAAAAACAATCAGGAGCCCATTTCACGTATAGTATGTTTTTAGAATTTATTTTGTGCACTAGCATTATTTTGCCTCTAGGTGGCAGGGCACCTCCAGTAATTAACAATACAGTTGAAGGGGCTGGAAATAAATTCAGCTTGTTACTGTCATATTTTTTTTATCCACAGAAGAAACCCAAGCAGGCAATTAAAAGAAAAACAAGAAACTATTGTGTAAACGTAAATATACATTTTTTGTTTTGAAGGATTAGTACACCCAGCAATGTGTGGGATGCATTTCCCCCCCTACAAACATGGCTAAAAAACAAACAAAAACAATTGCAATGACTAGGGATGAGCAAATCTGTCAGTGTTGGTTGTAAATAGTTTCTTGTTTTCCCCGCCTTCAATTCACCACATTTCTGCACCAGTTTGCAATTTTAAAAAGAAGCTGCTCGTGAAAATTCGCCTGCATTTTAGTGTACATTTCTCCTAGTATACACATTATCAACTACAGTGGTACCTCGGGTTACATACGCTTCAGGTTACAGACTCTGCTAACCCAGAAATAGTGCTTCAGGTTAAGAACTTTGCTTCAGGATGAGAACAGAAATCGTGCTCCAACGGTGCGGCAGCAGCAGGAGGCCCCATTAGCTAAAGTGCTGCTTCAGGTTAAGAACAGTTTCAGGTTAAGTACGGACCTCCGGAATGAATTAAGTACTTAACCCGAGGTACCACTGTAGTATACACATTCCTCCAATATGTAGACATGTTTGTACATAGTTTTTGTTGCTGTTGCTGCTGCTGCTGTATGGCACCGCAAAATTCAGAGAGGTGCAGATTTTAAAGGATAACTGTGTTTCTATTTGTGTATTGCGTTGGAAAGTGTGAATTAATTGTGTTAAAATGTGAAGCAAATGAATTTCACTCCTTCATTCCTAGTTTGGGTTTCCTTTGGAATGAGCTACAGCAGAGACTTTGGTGTCTTTGATATACAGTTTACAGTGCTGCCTCGCAAGACGAAAAGAATCCGTTCCGCGAGTCTCTTCGTCTTGCAGTTATTTCGTCTTGCAAAGCAAGCCCATTAGCGGATTAGCGCTATTAGCGGCCTAGCGGGCTTAGCAGCTTAGCGGATCAGCTGATAAGCGGCTTACCGCCTTGGGAAAAAGGGGGGGGGAGGAAAAAAACCCTGCAGGAACTCGCAAGACATTTTCGTCTTGCGAAGCAAGCCCATAGGAAATTCGTTTTGCGAAGCACCTCCAAAACGGAAAACCCTTTCGTCTAGCGGGTTTTCCGTCTTGCAAGGCATTCGTCTTGCAGGGCACCACTGTATTTACACGTATATGTGACCTGAGCCTACGATAAAGATGCTGGCAGCATTAACACCCCAAGAGGACTTTGCATCCCCCATAGCTGCAGCCTTGGATTCAAACTGAAATCAAGTGTCGCTCTCACTCTCTGCCTTCCCAGCCTGTTGCTTTCCCCCTTCTAGCTCACGTCACTCAACTCCCCATTCCGGCCTTTTCTCTTTCTAACAACCAGCCGGTCGAGGGAGAAGCTCCACCCCTTCGTCATCTGGCACCGGTCCATTTCCTTTGTTCCCTTAATGGCCTACAAACCTAGGCTATCACCTCACCAGGAATTTGACTCCTTCCTCATAGTTTAACACTTGGATCCACAATAATGCTAATAATAATTTTATTATTTATATCCCCCCATCTGGCTGGGTTTCCCCAGCCACTCTGGGCGGCTTACGGCACATAAGAACATTAGACATTAAGAAAACTCCCAATACAGAGTTGCCTTCAGGTGTCTTCTAAAAGTCAGATCTGATTTCTTTGACATCTGATGGGAGGGCGTTCCAGAGGGAGGCGCCACTACCAAGAAGGCCCTCTGCCTGGTTCCCTGCAGCCTCACTTCTTACAGTGAGGGAACTGCCAGAAGGCACTTGGCACTGGACCTCAGTGTCTGGGCTGAATGATGGGGATGGAGATGCTCCTTCAGGTATACTGGGTTGAGGCCATTTAGGGCTTTAAAGGTCAGCACCAACACTTTGAATTGTCCAGGAGAATCCTGGAATTAGCCAATCACATGGGGCCCATTGCGTAAATAATGTATATAAAGCAGACACTTTGGGGGGACTTGCATTCCTCACTACTATGAGCTGAATAAAGAGCATGAAATCCACACTTGACTCCGGGTATATTTCACATTTGCAAGAAATACAGAAACACAGGCTTTGTGGAACTCCTCAAGGGGTATCTCCGCACACCCCAGTTCCTGACCTGGAGGGAGAGAGGAATCCATCTTGGAAGAAAGGTGGAGTAGAAATTTGAAAAGCCCAGCCAGCACATTTGGTGAAAAGACTTCTGTATAGGATCTAAAAATACACAGATGTATTAAAATGTAATCAATTTGTTAACTGATTAATCGGTTCAAAGCCAAAACCTTTAATTGGTGCATGACTCCTCTTTCGATTCTTCTCTTTATCATTACATGTGAGTTCATTATTGCTGTTATGCAGCGATCAAGCTGGCAAGCTGCCATCTAGCATGCAATTTAATTTCAGGCTTTTAATTTCACCTTCGCTTCTGTTCCTAACGATGGGAAATTAAGGCTTCTAATTAAGACAGAGGTTGGCAAAAATCAATTTGGATCTTTGGGAAATGCCATTTATTTTGAAGTTGTTAAAAGAGCGAGGCGTTTAATCAGGATAACCAGCGGGAAAATAAGCGGCCGAAAGAAAACCTTAAATTTCAACATCGTTCTATTTGGCCTTCTTTGGTCTTCGTTAGAAATCAGAGTGAAATTATTTAGCTGTGGGTTCCTAGATTGCTTACTCTATACTAAATAGCAAGTAATGTGGGTGGCGCTGTGGTCTAAACCACAGAGCCTAGGGCTTGCCGATCAGGTGGTCGGCGGTTCGAATCCCCGCGATGGGGTGAGCTCCTGTTGCTTGGTCTCTGCTCCTGCCAACCTAGCAGTTGGAAAGAACATCAAAAGTGCAAGTAGATAAATAGGTACCGCTCCAGCGGGAAGGTAAACGGCGTTTCCGTGCGCTGGTCTGGTTCGCCAGAAGCGGCTTAGTCATGCTGGCCACATGACTCGGAAGCTGTACGCCGGCTCCCTCGGCCAGTAAAGCGAGATGAGCGCTGCAACCCCAGAGTCGTCCGCGACTGGACCTAACGGTCAGGGGTCCCTTTACCCTTTACCTTTAATGCTTCATGCCTGTTGTAAGCAGAGAAAGGGGGTTGCTCTTTAAGAAATAAAGGAATCATAGAATCATAGAGTTGGAAGAGACCACAAGGGCCATCGAGTCCAACCCCCTGCCAAGCAGGAAACACCATCAGAGCACTCCTGACATATGGTTGTCAAGCCTCTGCTTAAAGACCTCCAAAGAAGGAGACTCCACCACACTCCTTGGCAGCAAATTCCACTGTCGAACAGCTCTTACTGTCAGGAAGTTCTTCCTAATGTTTAGGTGGAATCTTCTTTCTTGTAGTTTGGATCCATTGCTCCGTGTCCGCTTCTCTGGAGCAGCAGAAAACAACCTTTCTCCCTCCTCTATATGACATCCTTTTATATATTTGAATATGGCTATCATATCACCCCTTAACCTCCTCTTCTCCAGGCTAAACATGCCCAGCTCCCTTAGCCGTTCCTCATAAGGCATCGTTTCCAGGCCTTTGACCATTTTGGTTGCCCTCCTCTGGACACGTTCCAGTTTGTCAGTGTCCTTCTTGAACTGTGGTGCCCAGAACTGGACACAGTACTCCAGGTGAGGTCTGACCAGAGCAGAATACAGTGGCACTATTACTTCCCTTGATCTAGATGCTATACTCCTATTGATGCAGCCCAGAATTGCATTGGCTTTTTTTAGCTGCCGCGTATTGGCGTATTGGCTTTGTAAATTACACCTTAATGAACATTAACTTGTTGGCCTTTTCACTACAGGATGAACTTGCAAGCGACTTTTCACATCAACTGCGAAGAACTGGAGAAGACCCTGACTAGTCTGATGCTGAGATACAGGAAATGCTTTTTAAATAAATTAAAGCTGGAAACACAGGTAAGAGGAGTATTTGCAATTCAAGAAGACTGCGCTAGAACCCAGCTGCTGAGATTCCAAACCGCAACAGCTCTTGTTGATTTCCTCCGTGAGATGCCATCACTGAGCCAGGGTGTGTGCATGGGCAGATCATTCAAAGCACACCCACCACACATTTAAAGCACGTGGCTTCCCCCAGAGAACCCTGGGAACTGCAGTTTGTTAAGCGTTCTATGAATCATGGCTCTGTGGCGAGGAGACTGCTGCTCCCAGAATTCTGAAATGAGAAAAGGGACTTACCGTAGTTGAATTGCCGTTGTGAACTGATGAAATTTTATTTTATTATGAATCATGCCTCTTTGAATCAGGGCAGGCCTCTTTGAAAAGCGGGTGGGGAGTATATCTTCCGAGCAGTTTAACGGACAGCCTTGCACACGTCCTTGGAGGAGCAACTCAAACCACAGCTTCTTTCATGTGGTAGGAATGGGAGCAATTCTAAGAACTCGGATAACTTAATTTCTCACCATCGCTGCTTTCACTTTCGAGCAAAGCCAAGGTTGCAAACAACAGCGATGTTTTTGGCAACTGTAAAACCCCTTGCAAGGCAGAATTATTGTCAAAGGCAGACATCATCCTCACTTGCAAGCTGCTCTGGCCATCTGCACAGGGGCTGGTGTGCCAGCATAGCTAACAGTCAGTGGCAGCGGCAGCCAATAAGTACCACTGGTCAGTGGCTGATCACAGCCACTACCCAAAATGATCACCTGCTTTCATAGAATCACAGAACTGTGGAGTTGAAAGGGAGCCCAGGGGTCATCTAATCCAACCCCTGGCAGTGCAGGAATCTTAGCTATAGCATCCACGACTGATGGCCATCCAACCTCTGCTTGAAAACCTCCAAGGAAGGAGAGTCCAGCACCTTCTGAGGGAGACTGTTCCACTGTTGAACATCACTTGCTGTCAGAAAGTTCTTCATTATATTTAGTCGGAAGCTCCTTTCTTGTAACTTGAAGCCATTGGTTTGAGTCCTACCCTCCAGAACAGGAGAAAACAAGCTCTCTCCATCTTCCTTGTGACAGCCCTTCGGATATTTGAAGATGGCCATCCTATCTCCTCTCAGTCTCCTCTTTCCATTCAAAACGTCCAAAGTCGAATCCCCGTTATCTCCAGGCAAGGATGAGAATATTGCCTGTTTGCAACAGTGGAGTGCGTTAGTGTCGACAATATTTAGTGTGGCTTGCTGTAAGGCAGCTCCCCATATCCTATGGGTATTGCCCCAGTTCCTCAGCCACCTCAGGCAAGGTGGGGAATGGGCATGAGTTCTAAATGTAGCTCTGGCAGGGTGGAGGGGGTCTCTAAACAACTCCCAACACCCTTAAAGGTAAAGGAAAAGGGACCCCTGACCATTAGGTCCAGTTGTGACCGACTCCGGGCTTGCGACGCTCCTCTCGCTTTACTGACTTAGGGAGCCGGCGTACAGCTGGTCATGTGGCCAGCATGACTAAGCCACTTCTGGCGAACCAGAGCAGTGCACGGAAACGCCGTTTACCTTCCCACCGGAGCAGTACCTATTTATCTACTTGCACTTTGACATGCTTTCGAACTGCTAGGTTGGCAGGAGCAGGGACCAAGCAATGGGAGCTCACCCCGTCGCGGGGATTCGAACCGCCGACCTTCTGATTGGCAAGTCCTAGGCTCTGTGGTTTAACCCACAGCGCCACCCGTGTCCCTTAAGAAATGCCAGTTCCCAAGATTCTTTGGGTGAAGCCCTGACTGTTAAGATTTGTGGATGTAAACAGAGCCCTACTGCCCCAGGGATTTTTCACATTTCTAGGACAGAGGCTTTAAACATATACTGTGGACGTTACCATAGCATCAGAGACCGACAACAGTGCATTAGGATTTTGCCCTGAGATGTTGTGATTACTTTCCTGGCGAGTGTGGATCCAAAAAAATACAATAATTTGAGGCATGCTTTTTCTACCCCAGAGCATTTCTACAACATGGACCAGATGATGCTCGGTCATTCCGTATGCATCAGCACCTCCGTGTCTTCGCAACAGAAATAGACCTCTGCTACTTTTTTCAAAAGCAGAGGCTCCTGGGCAGAGAACCAATAAAAGCTGCTCAAAGTGATTTAGCACAGCTCGTTGACCTGCTCCTCTATCCCACTTTACTTTCCCTCTGATTTACATTTTAATTGGTTCCTGCCTCTTTAATACAGTTGCCAGCTGGTGGGAAAGGCTTAGATTTATCTAGGGGAATACAGTTTAGGCATCTGAACTCATGGAGGCATTCCAAATGCCCATAATCCCTTAATTAGGTGGAGCATATACGGTAAATGCACACAGGCCACCCTTGACAATTACCAAAGCGATCTGCAGCGCTTCCTGTTTTGAGCCTTCCTCCTCCCACACGCCTGAACTGTCTCTAAGATCTTGCATCACACCCTAGATTTGAAGCACTGTGTTAAAATTCAGCCAAGGCACAGGGAGGGACCAGACCCTAACTACATATGGCACACACAGGGGTTTATTGTAAACACCTTTGGGGGATAACCATGCAGAGGAGAAAGGCAGCGAGGAGGAAAGTGCTTAACCCTCACCCCACCGCATCTCCACTTGAAACTGTCCTCCCTGCTGCACAGTTTCAAACGAGAGAATTCTGAGGGCAAAGATGGGAAAGGGTGAAGCACCCCTTGCCGTCGGCTCCAAATACAGTGGATGCTCGGGTTGCGAACGTGATCCATGCAGGATGCACATTCGCAACCCGCAGCATTCGCAACCCGCAGTGGCGCATCTGCGCACTCGCAGGTTGCGATTCGGCGCTTCTGTGCATGCGCAAAGCGTGATTGAGCACTTCTGAGCATGCGCGACTCCCAAAACCCGGAAGTAACCCGTTCTGGTACTTCCGGGTTTCGGCAATCCGTAACCCGAAAAAACGCACCCTGAAGCATCTGTAACCCGAGGTGTGACTGTAATTCCTCCCCAAATGTGCTTTTCCTTAAAATTGTTGTGGTTCTGTTACATGTGTTCATGCACAGCATTCAAGGGATTCATAAATCCTAGTTCTTCAGCTCCACCACTGAGCTGAAGCCCTTCCCCTGAATATTGACTCGTGTTTTTTTGCTGGGAGCTGATTGTAACATATGCATCGTTTTGCTTCTAAAAGTAACGTGGTCCTGGAGGAAAGTTCCGGGTATCAAAAACCTGGGAAACTGTTTACTTGGCTGTCAACAATCTCTTTTTAAAGTAGGAATGATAACGTATTTTTCGTTCCATAAGACCATAAGGCGCACCTAGTTTTTAGAGGGGAGATGCAAAGAAAAAAATATTATTTAAAGGGAGCGCTGAGCAGAGCCTGTATGTATCCCAGGCTCTGCTCAGTGTTCCCTTGCACGAGCCACGTGGAGCGTGTGTGCAGCACTTGCAGGCTTCTCCCTCCTCGGAGAAAAGCCCCCAACACACACTCCGCGCGGCTCTCTTGGGGGATTTTGTCCCTTCCCCACCTCCTGCAAAAGCCACGGATAGCCACCCGAAGCCTCCGCAGGGGAGCAAGATGAAGCCAGAAGCTTGAACAGCGAGAGGGAGCACTGTGCAGTGCTCCCTCTCACTGTTCTAGCTTCTGGGATAGTTCGCGATCTTATAAAGTGATCTTAAAAAGTGCGTCTTATAGAGCGAAAAATACAGTAATTAGATTTTTACACTGACATGGAAAATAAACTATCCTCCTACCGTAAAACTTAATAGCCAATACATACTGCCTTATCTTCAGGTTTAGTTCTATTCCAGTAGGGCAGGGATGGGGCAGCTGTGGTCCTCCAGAGGATGCTATGCTCCAGCTCCCATCAGCACCAGCCAGCATGACCAATGGTCAGAGTATGGGATGATGGGAATCGAACAGCTTGTGGAAGGTCACTGGTTCCCCACCCCTGCAAGAACCTGTCCCCCAAGTGATCTTCCCACATTTCTTGGACATCCTGAGCTTTTATAGTGTGTGAACATGGTCCTCAGTATCGTATGTTAAAGTCTCCATGCCCAGACGTCCATTGTGAGGGGCTATATTTATTTCCCAAACTTTGCATGCATAGTTCCTGGCAAAGATTAAAACGTTTCCCAGTAGATTCCACTAGTTTTGTTTTCATGCCCACCTAGGAAAGAAGTGTTAGCAGATAGATCAATGGTGTTTTAACCAGGTTATTCTTAAATGCACTTGCATATCAGCAAAACATCGACACAGAAACAGGAGTCCTTGTCTGAAATATTCGTGGAAGCATGTGCAAAGAACTTAAAGCTGATTTAAAAGCTATGGGAAAAGACCAAAGGACCATGATCAAGACTTTGAAGAATGTGTACCCAAGGAACCACAGGAACAACCTTACGCTCCAATCCTTATGGCCAGCTGTAAGGAACCAGAGGTGCTTTTAGGGTGGCATGATCGGTGTGGCCACCTTAGGCACCATGCTGCAGGGGGCACCACAGCAATGAAGTAGAACAGAGCCCAAGAGGCAGGGGCGCCGGATTTTAGCATTGCGCAGGGCAACACTGAAATTTGAGAGCCTGGTGTCTGCCACTGGAGGAATTTGGCCATACCAAATGGCGCTGATGGAAGTTGATGTCCAACAAGAACTGGAGGGCCGTAGGTTCCCCACCAATGCAAAAAGCCAAGTTACAGGGAACTAGGCAGAGGGCCTTCTCAGTGGTGGCACCCGCCCTGTGGAACGCCTTCCCACCAGATGTCAAAGAGAACAACAACTACCAGACTTTTAGAAGACATCTGAAGGCAGCCCTCTTTAGGGAAGCTTTTAAAGTTTGGTGCATTACTGTATTTTAATACTTTGTTGGAAGCTGCCCAGAGTGGCTGGGGAAGCCCAGCCAGATGGGCGGAGTATAAATTATTATTATTATTATTATTATTATTATTATTATTATTATTAATTAATTTAATTAATTCTGGGTTAGGCAGGCCGAGTATTGCCATATTCATTTTGTGTTTCTCAAACTGCACTCCCCTCATGGCAAATGGCAAAATGCTTTTGAAATGAAGGAGAACCTTCCCATGCAGTTTGTGAGGGGACCTGGGATGAGGGAAGTATGCGCCACTCAAAGGGGTGGGGGATGTCCCAAAACTCTTCTGAGTACACCCCAAACCCCTGGGTAGGCTCTGGGCCATAAGGATTTGAGTAGGCCACACCTTAGAATCAAAAGAGATGCTTTAGTAATACCCATGACTGACGTGTGTGTGTGTGTGTGTGTGTGTGTGTGTGTTTTACCAGCCAATGTTCAAGAAAATTCTAAGCCAGGCCTGGGTCGTAAGTGGCAGAACCTTCGACTCATTCATCATTAAAATATTGTCCATCATTGAGGAGTCTTCGGAACATCTAAAGCATCTGCAGGAACCCGTGTGCAAGGTAATAGTAAGAGTAATAATATTAATTATTCAGTAATTATTTTTTTTTAAAAAGTTTGCTTGTTTATTAAATTTATATTCATCACTGTTCACAGAATAAAATACAAGATAAAAACACAAATACCGTATTTTTCGCCCTATAGGACGCACCGGCCCATAGGATGCACCTAGGTTTTTTTGGGTGGGGGAATAAAGAAAAAAAAATTTATCCCCCCCCCAGCTGCGGCTTCAGCGTGCCCCGCGCTCCAGGCAGCAGTCTGCTATCCACAGCCTAGGGAGCCCTGGGGAACTCCCGCGAGCTCCCAAGGCTTGCTGATAGCTTCCTGAAGCCTGGAGAGCGAGAGGGGTCGGTGCGCACCCGACCCCTCTCGCTCTCCAAGCTTCAGCAAAAGCCTGCATTCGCCCCATAGGACGCACACAGATTTCCCCTTCATTTTTGGAGGGGGAAAAGTGCATCCTATAGGGCGAAAAAATACGGTAAGTAATTAAAACAAAAACATTCCTAACCTGTCTTTCACACAATGTACACATGGCATAGCGTATATAGAGATGTTTTGAACTATTGTCAACCTTCATACAGGCTGAGCCTCATGGATGTTGTAGTCCCAGGGTGAACATCCTGCACCCCTCCAGATGTTTCTGGACTACAACTCCCATCAGCCCCAGTCAGCATAGCCAGTGATCAGGGACGATGGGAGTTGTAGTCCAATGCATTTGGAGGGGCCTCCAGTTAGATTTCATTTATAGAGACCCTGAGGACTGGGCTGAAGCCTGACAAACTCTATTTCTTACATCCATAGGATAACAACAAAAATGTAATAAGCAACAACAACAAATATATATACCCATATATGCCCAAATACATAGCGACCTAACTTATTTTAGTCATAGTAAGTTGTTTTTAACATTGAGTTTAATTGTTGCAAACCTAGGACCTGAGGGTGGAGAGAAAGTAGATGATGATAATGTTTCTCTTTTTCTTTTTCTCTCTTTTATTTACCTTTCACCATGTTTAGTGCACATCTAATTATGTACTTTTTGAAATTTCAATAAACTTGAACTTTCAATAAAGATGTTAAGGAAAATTCAGTTACAGATAGGTAGCCGTGTTGGTCTGCCATAGTCAAAACAAAAAAAAATCCTTCCAGTAGCACCTTAAAGACCAACTAAGTTAGTTCTTGGTATGTGTATCTGAAGAAGTGTGCATGCACACGAAAGCTCATACCAAGAACTAACTTAGTTGGTCTTTAAGGTGCTACTGGAAGGAAATTTTTTTGTTTTAAGGAAAATTATTACTATTATTTATTATTTATTATGTTGCGATTTTAGTATTGTTGTTTTGCTTTGCACTGTTGTGTATTATTTTTGTTTTGCTTTGGTTGTAAATTGATTAGGGACATTCTTAGTGGGGTGCAACAGACAGAATTAATAAGCCTAAAAGTAACCATTGCAATACTTCGCAGTGACACAAATAAAACTTGATCTTACAGGTGGCTGTGCACTGAAAAACTCATCCAGCGGGTTTCTTGCGATCCCTTTGGGTTCTCTGACTCTTTTCCAGTCCTTGTGGTTTGGCATGGCCGTAAACCCCTGGCTTGTGCTTTGGCCAACCCACTGTTGTTATTTTTATCGTTCTTGTTGTATGCAGGATTTTCTCAACGAGGTTCACAGGGATGTGGTCAAAGAGTACATCATGCAAACTCTCAAGCCAAGAGGCAGAATGAGGAAAGCGAAACGAGACGAGGTCAGCAAAATAATGTCTCAGGATGCCACAGCTATTAACAACACAATGCAGCATCTGGTAAGGAATTTCTGCCATTGGTATCTACATCGTAGCCGTGGACTGATGTGAAAGTGCCTGAGGTTATCTAAATGCAAGTGAGCCAACGAAACATCAAGATCTGTAACGTTTAAAGTTGTTTCTTTCCTAAAATGTGTTAACAAGATTCATTTTAAGGGTGGTAGGGTTAAAGGTAGAACATTAGAAGCTGTCTTAAGTGGAGTTCCATCAGCACTGACTACACCAGCCTTTTCCAACCAGGTGTTTAGGAATACAAGACTGTTGGGATTTACAGCCCAAAACATCTGGAATTGTTCGGAACCACAATATTAGAAGCTTTTGCAGATCAAGAAAAGTACCATCAAGGTCAGGCTTAGGCAAACTCCGGCCCTCCAGATGTTTTGGACTACAATTCCCATCACCCCTAGCTAACAGGACCTGTGGTCAGGGGTAATGGGAGTTGTAGTCCCAAACATCTGGAGGGCTGGAGTTTGCCTATGCCTGATCAAGGCCAACAGGGGGTCCGTGTGGTAAGAGTCAAAAAAAGGTTATCAGAGGCAAGACATCTTCCTTTAGAACAGGGTATCAGTTCCCAACACCACTGGTCCTGCTACCTAGGGATGATGGGAATTGTAGTCCAAAAACAGGTGGAGACCAAAGTTTGGGAAGCCCTCCTTTAGAAAATGTAAGTCTTGTTGAAACGTGGAGAACAAAAAGGGACACAAACTTTGGCAAAATAAATGCAAGCAGACTATAAAAGATGATGGGGGGAAAACCAAATTGAGGAGTACACTGCTAAAAAGCAGTGTCGTTATTCCAACCCAACAGACCAACAACAACAAAAAGTATTTAAATACATGAGTAGTAGGAGACCAGCTTGGAGTGTGATCGAACCTTTGGGTGACAAAATGTTATCAGAGATACATTGCTTTTTCGAAACCTGAATGCTTCCACCTTAACTGCAGGTCATTTGGTGGTGGGGAATAACCAGGTATTCTAACATATTTCCAGGGTTCAACTTCTGACTGGCTCGCTCCTGCCATAGAACACATTGCTAGAATAATTGGCGAGGAAGAAAAAGCCAGAATCAAGGACCACATTAACTGTTTATACCAGGATTATCCAGACATCAGGTATGCCAACCCATTCCGAATAGCTGTAACTCGCGGGTTTGATTATTAGGGATGGGCGAACCTGCCAGTTTTGGGTTCTCTCAAATTGGAACGATGAGAAACTGAGAGAGACCTAAACTGGCAGACTCGCCCATCCTTGGGTCTTATAGATGTTCCCCCATTCCCTTCTTTGTGGGGCACGTTTGCTTTGATTCATTGGTTTGTTTTCAGATAAATTTGACTCAGAGTAGACCCTCTGAAATTAAGGACCATCGCCAACTTAAAGGTAAAGGTACCCCTGCCCGTACGGGCCAGTCTTGACAGACTCTAGGGATGTGCGCCCATCTCACTTAAGAGGCCAGACACTTCCGGGTCACGTGGCCAGCGTGACGAAGCTGCATCTGGCAAGCCAGTGCAGCACACGGAAATGCCGTTTACCTTCCCGCCAGTAAGCGGTCCCTATTTATCTACTTGCACCCGGGGGTGCTTTCGAACTGCTAGTAGGTTTATGCTGAGTGTAAATAAATAAGTAAATAAGTAAATAATTTTTTATTTATACCCCACCCTCCCTGGCCAGGGCCGGGCTCAGGGTGGCTAACACCAAATATGAATTACAATAAAACGTAATAGAGAAAAACAACAACAAACAAACAAACAAACAAACAATTAAAACACGGCTTAAAATGCAGCCTCATTTTAGTAGTAGCCCATAAATCAAGACCATATAGGGAGGAAACACCAGATATTCACCCGAGCCAGCTATCCATGCTGGTCCTACATGGGCCAGCAAAAAAGCCAAGGGAAAATTTATATACTAAATCCCATATAAGAGGTCAGAGTGAGTCTAAGCCAAAGGCCAGGAGGAACAGCTCCGTCTTGCAGCCCCTGCGGAAAGATGTCAAATCCCACAGGGCCCTAGTCTCTTGTGACAGAGCGTTCCACCAAGTCGGGGCCAATGCTGAAAAGGCCCTGGCCCTAGTTGAAACCAATCTAACCTCCTTGAGGCTTGGGACCTCCAAAGTGTTGTTATTTATGGACCTTAAGGTCCTCCGCGGGGCATACCAGGAGAAGCGGTCCCGTAGGTACAAGGGTCCTAGGCCGCATAGGGCTTTAAAGGTCAAAACCAGTAACCCATTCTATTCTGTTGCTTTCTTTCCTTTCCCCCTGAATTTTGCTTTAAATTTATCAGGTGCAGTTGGGGGCCCCTTCAGTGCATTCTGTACAGGGTGCGCCCATCTTATCCCTTCTATAACACCATGTGGGCATTTTTGGGGGAGAGGAGGCGGAGCAAGATGATCAGAGTTGGCCAAACATCTTGGCGCCTGAGACAATTAAATGGCTGGCCCCACCCCACCCCCATCCCCCAAAACCCCCACACTTAAAGTCATATTGTACCCACAACTGGCCAAGTTGTGTTTGTGCTTAAGGCAAAAACTCCCCCAACTACCTCTCCACCTCTCTGGCAGCAAAAACCCAACAATAAGAAATTAAAATTACTAACCATTTGCTGCCCTTTCATGACAGCTATCATCATCTTCCCCTAGGCAGCCACCCCACTTTGCCTAATGATAGGGCCGGCCCCGGAGAAGATGGAAGAGCAGAGAAGAGGCTGCACCAAGTCATTTCCAGCCAGCTTTGCTTGTTTACAGGGAGGGATAAAGAGAACTGGTTAGGATTCAACTAATGAATCCTATCACTGGAAGGACTGTGTAAGGACTTCTGCTTGCGCAAGAGGATTGCCTGAATCTCCTCCCTACAAAACAATCAGAAGTGTGTGACATTGAATTCTTCCCATTTTCTCTTATTCCATGTTCCTCTTTCCTCAATCTATAGCAGAAAGAGACACTAATTTTACTTTTTTAACAAAATATATGTTTAAATAAACATTCCTAACCAGCTTTTTTTAAACAGAAACTTAGCACAGCTGCCAACCCTAACTGTTATAATTCTTGACACACTGGCTATTTTTGCAACAACAATGAAATAACCATTGCCATAAAAAAAGCGCAAACAACTATTTGCCAGAGAAGGCAGGCCTCCTTTCTGTATGCCCTGGGAAGTTCCAGGGCTGTTCCTCTTTACAGGGTCTGCTTCCTCATGATAAGAAAGAATTCTGCAGTTGATGGGGTAGGGGGAAACTCAGTTAAGTTTGAAGCAGAACACATATGAGAACCAAATACGATTTGCAAACCAAAGCACAGCCTTCCTTCAAAAATCGGCATTTCTCTTAAATATGCAGTGTTGTTCTCCAGCCAAGTAACACATTCCAATTATGTGTAAACGAGTGTAAAGTATGCATAAAAATGCATAGTATACAAAAACGAGTTACCGTATTTTTCTGTGTATAAGACTAGGTTTCCCCCCGAAAAAGTCAAAAATTAGGGGGTGTCTTATATACTGGGCCATCTCCCCTCATTTTCTTAAATCTGAGTCCCCAAAAACAGGGGGCGTCTTATACATGAGGGCGTCCTATAGACGGGGAAATATGGTAATATTGGTGGGAAATTCGCACAAAAATGCTGGTGAATTTTCACAAGGTTCTTTTCAAAAAGACACACAAAACGATCACTAGTTGTTGTGGAAAGGTAAATTTAAAACTGGAAAAATGAGAAACTTCAAGAACTGAAAGGAACAGAGAGGCCCATCCCTACTGTAGATTTAGTGCCGTCTCCGCCAACCTGCCACCCTCCTAATGCCAGGGGCTAAAACTAACTTCAGCCCCAGTCAGGACAGCTGGTGGTTCTTGTAATCCAAAATTGCCATGTTGGCTGGGAGTGGTGGGAGTTGCTATCCAAAACATTTGGAGAGCACCTGGTTGGTGAAGACTGGCATATGGTGTCTTTATAATATCTGTTTCTTTGCAGATATACAAGCCGAACATAATGGAAGCAATTAGATTCCTAGAACAGGCAGCACAACCACTAACTGATAATATAACATCACACAGATATAGGTGCTTTCTAAGGTATGGCAATCCTAGGTAGGTTAGGACATTCAAAGTCACTCTCCACCTTGGCTAAATGCCCCCCCCACAAGACCCTCCTATGTCAGTAGGCCAGGTGGCAAAAACGGGCTATAGCACTCTGAATCAGCACTGGGCAGCTAGAAGCACAATTCCGAGCACAATTCAAAGTGCTGGTGTTGACCTTTAAAGCCCTAAACGGCCTCGGCCCAGTATACCTGAAGGAGCGTCTCCACCCCCATCGTTCTGCCCGGACGCTGAGGTCCAGCGCCGAGGGTCTTCTGGCGGTTCCCTCATTGCGAGAAGCAAAGCTACAGGGAACCAGGCAGAGGGCCTTCTCGGTAGTGGCACCCGCCCTGTGGAACGCCTTCCCATCAGATGTCAAAGCGATAAACAACTACCTGACATTCAGAAGACATCTTAAGGCAGCCCTGTTCAGGGAAGTTTTTAACGTGTGATATTTTAGTGTATTTTTGGTTTCTATGGAAGCCGCCCAGAGTGGCTGGGGAAACCCAGCCAGATGGGCGGGGTACAAATAATAAATGCATTGTGGGGGTGTTAAAGTAGAAACTCCTCAACGTAGCCACTTTCTACAAGAAAGGACTTTGCAGAATTCCCTCCCCTGCCACCCCACCACCCCAGACATGGGGAAATGACTTTGTAATTGAAGCCCTATGGTCTTTTACCTACAATTGACTGGATTACAGTTTATTGGATGACAACAGCATTTTACAAACTCCAGGCCTCTATGATCATTTGGATGTCAATGTTTGCCAATGAATGATGGGAGATGATCTTTTTATTGCCTCGTTTTGCTTTTGTTTTACATGTATATTTCCCCCATTTGGAGAATTCACCTTCATTGCATTTTGCAGAAAGGAGCACATTGTCGCTGTTCTTGCTCTTCGAGGATTGAGTCGAAATAAGAGGCGAGCGATAGCTGACCACATGAAGCAGCCGTCAGAAGAGTTGGGATGCAGGACGCTCTTTGCTGAAATAGAAGTCCCAAGAACCACCCAGTGCTTTTTTTAAAATCTGCAGAAATGAAATGTGGAGCTATTCTTGTTTCCATGTATTTATGAACAAACAAGCACTTGAACAGAGTCAGGCCATTTGTCCATCTATCTGTGGCTCTCCACATCTTGCTCCTTAATGATCCTTTTAGCAGGAGATGCCTGGGATGAGTCTTAGAAGATTGTTGTTGTTGTTTAGTCGTTTAGTCGTGTCCGACTCTTTGTGACCCCATGGACCAGAGCACGCCAGGCACTCCTGTCTTCCACTGCCTCCCGCAGTTTGGTCAAACTCATGCTGGTAGCTTTGAGAACACTGTCCAACCATCTCGTCCTCTGCCGTCCCCTTCTCCTTGTGCCCTCCATCTTTCCCATCATCAGGGTCTTTTCCAGGGAGTCTTCTCTTCTCATGAGGTGGCCAAAGTATTGGAGCCTCAGCTTCAGGATCTGTCCTTCCAGTGAGCACTCAGGGCTTATTTCCTTCAGAATGGATACGTTCTACTCAGAAGATTAGATACTTGCTAAAAATGGACACTACTTAAAAATGGAAAGCGTAATGATAGTGGTCAACAAAAGACGTCTAAAGAATCTCTCAAGGCAAATCTAGAAAAAATGCAGTAGAAACAGTGACAACTGGAAAACACTGGCCTGTGAGTGCTCCAATTGGAGAACCTTTACCAAAGGACTTTGAAGATGCTCCGACTCAGGATGAAAGGGACAAACGTGCCAAGCGGAAAGCACATTTGGCAAACCCTCACCGTGATAAATTCCTGCCCAGAAACCTATGTCCCCACTGTGGAAGGACATGTGGATCCAGAATTGGCCTCCACGGTCATTGACTCACTATTAAGACTGTGTTCGTGGAAGACAATCTTACTCAGCTATGAGTGATCTCCAAAGAAGAAGACTACCTCTGAGCTATAGTGTCTCTCCAATTTAATCATCATCATCATCAAACCTTTTATTGGCATCACATACAAACATCCAAAACAAATCAATACAGAATTACCACTTCCCCAGTGGCACAAAGCATTTGCTAAAAGAAAGGAGGCAGAGCAGTCTATCGTCACATCTCTAGGTCTCCAGGGAGATCAGACGTCTGCAGTGTATTTCGACGACAAAAAACCAAATAGAGATATTTAGCCACTAACTTGGTGAGCTCCTGATCATTCCCCAGTAACAGAAAATGTATGACCTCCAACTCTGGTTTCCATTTGGTGATACAGAGTTGATCTAGAAATTGCTGACGGAGATCAGCATATAGTTTACAATTAAGAACCATATGTATAAGGGTTTCCACCAGGTGGTCTTCACATGGGCAAGTTCTTTCTCCTTCCACCCTGCCTGAGAACCTTCCCCAAAGGAGGTTTGATGGATTTGAATTAAACTTGGCCAGCGAAAATGCCCTTCTTTCTTGAGGGTTAAGCAGAAATTCAAGGTAATTGTGGTTAGTTTCATGTGCCCAAGAAAGTTGAAAATAAAGAGGGGAACATGTTTTCTCTGCTGCTACAGTTAGTTCTTGGTGTTCAATATCCCACAACCTAGTTTTTATTATAGCCTTGGCAGATGGTAGGGACATTGAACGCAAAAGTTCCACTGACAGCCCGAGTTGCTGTACCTTCTTGTTAAACTGTTGTAGCCCTGGGGAAAGAAAGGGGTCTAACAAAACTTTGCTGAGGAGAGGATCTTTATCTGATGTAAGGCAGATGTTTAACCATCTCGCCCAGGCGACAGTCTCTACCTTGTGTTGACCTCCCTCTAGACACAAGGCTGCGTAGGGTACACAGTGTGGGACAGTAAAAATCTTGAAAAGGAAAGCTGCCTGCACTCGTTCTACCAACTGGGTAAACCCTGGCAGCCAGACTGGAATACAATAGAGCAATTGAGCTGTAATTTTGGCATTGAAGACCTTAAGGGTAGAAGGGGTATGTGAATTACCTCTTGTTATGAAAAGACGCATTATGGCCTGCATAGACATCTTACTGGCATTCACCGCCGTTGCACAGTGCGTGGACCAGAGAAGCCTTTGATGGAATGTAATTCCCAGATAGTTGAATTTGAATACCTGCTGGATGGGTTTTCCACCAAATACCCAGCTATTGCTCTTGCGTGAATTCCCAAAAACCATTATTTTGCTTTTGTCAAAGTTCATGCACCATTTCATTCTGGACAGATAGTCAATACAGGAGTTTAACAATCGCTTTAAACCAATTCTTGTCCGTGAAAGCAAAATCATATCATCTGCATATAGGAGGATGGGAATGCTTAATGCATTGAGTTTTGGGCCAATTTAATAATGAGAAGGTCTTCTCTCCTTACTGTATTTATAGATTTGTTTGCCTGTCTTCTCTCAGGTGTGGGGAACCTCCAGCCCACAAGTCAACTTCTTCCCCATAGGGGTCCCAGCTTAGCACACCAGATCATTCCCTGCAAACCACAGCTGCCTACGCTACACCTGATGCCCTGTTTGGGGCAGGTGGGTGTGGTTTCAAAGGCACAACTGGGAGATTAAAATGAGCTACCTATTACTCTATTGCTAGAGAAAAGCACATTCCCAGTGCCCAACCGATAATCCTTAATTTTAGAAGAGTTTTTAGAAAAGCGGGAGTGCCTTCAAAAATATGCCCATCAATCATGTCAGGTGACTGAAAGATGGGTGACCTCACCCATCTCTCAGATTTGATCCCTGGAATACTCTCCCCAGGGAAGTTCACCTGGCACCTTCGTTACACACCTTTCAGAGTCTGGTGAAAACTAGCTTCCTATATCTATTTAAATGTGTTTGAGGGAGGCGGGGGGTTATTGGTTTGTTTTGGTCTTGTTCTTGTTTTTATTCTGTAGTTTGTGCTTTTATCTTGTTTTTTTTTTAATGCTGTGAACTGCCCTGAGATATATGGATGAAGGGAGTACAAATTTAATTAATTAATTAAAGGAGGAGACACGATATGGGGAACTTGACTAAAAGCATAGCCCCGCTCCCAAGAAACCATGGCCGCACCCAACACGTGAATAGATTTAATATGACACCGACATTCCACAAAAGAAAACAAAGGAGATCTGTTGGCGACCAGCTGTCACATGTCAAACACCACAACAGACCTTCCCATCACTTGATTTTCCTCCTGATACCATACTTTTCAGAAGAGGAAGTTCAGCCAGTTTTTCTGAATAGTACAGTCAAGTGATACGAATCTTACCTCTCACCTCAGAGCAGATTTAAAGCAGGCCTAATAACATCAGCATTCAAATGTGTTTGTTTTATTTTTGTTTTTCCCCTTCTTTCTTTTTTCCTACCCCCCCCTTCCCCTCCCCTTTTTCTTCTTCCTTTTCTCTTTTCTTCTTTTGTGCCTCCTTTCTTGGTCTTTCTCTTTTTGATGTGTTAAGAAGGAAAGAAAGAGATGAAAGTGTAAGATGAAAACTTCAGTAAGTCAAAAGTGATGTTGTGTAATTTTTCTATTACTATTTATATATTGTTAAAATTGGTGAGTTGTAATGAATTGATGTAAAAATTACTGTGGTTTTTTCCTTTGTTGTTGTTGAATTCTAAATAAAGTATTATTCTTCTCTTTAAATAATAATAATAATAATAATAATAATAATAATAACAATAACATCAGCATTCACATCTTTTGCCCTAGCGCAGCCCCACTGCTGAGCCTTCACCTTAGAAAACATGTCTGCCACAAGGAGCTTCCATTTTAATATCCCACAATGCCTTGGAGGGTTTCTGTTTAAAATGGAAACTGCTAGGGCTTGCCACTAAGTAAGTCAGAAAGGTCAGAGGGGAATCACCAAACATCACTGGTTTGGTGATTTAGTCCCTATTTAAAAACCTCATTTGTGCTTTCTGAAACAATACAAAAAACGAAACACAGCCATGCTTCAAAATTCACACTTCTACAAATTGTGCAATGCAGTTCTCCAGTAGATTTCAGATCAGCTTTCCACAGCTTTTCCCAAGAGTTCATTTCGATATTATATCCAAGAACTTTTAGCCCATTGTATCATCACTGATTTAACCATTTCATCTTTCATCTCCCATTCTAATAACAATTTATACATTTTTTAAACTGGTTTTTTCTGTTCCTTAGAGCAGAATCTTTTCAAAGTCGGAACTTCAATCTATAAAACCTTTTAATAGATCCTTTTTTTAAAAAAATACTCATTAATTTGATAATATTGAAACCAGTCCAATACGAATTCTACTTTTCAAGCCACAGACATGTTTTATTCTGGTATATTATATAATCAGCAGAGTGAGAAAAACAAGTTAAGGGAGTTCCTTTGGTCTTTCATAATAAATACAGAAAATTCATGCAATGCTGGAAATATATATATTTAGGGAAGTAGCAAGGCTTTCCTCACCTCTCACATGGGAAAGCGAAACTAGCCAAATGTCTTCTCCAGCACAGTTATTCAAGATAACAGGAGCCCTGTCATCTGTTATAACTGATTACCCTGTGAAGAGTGAATCAAGCCACACAAGCAATTGGGGGGAGGGCTGTGATACTCTGATAGTTGCTGGAATTACAATTCCCATCATCCCTGGTCATACTGGCTGGGGCTGATAGGAATTCAGCAATGTTTGGAGGGAACCAGGTTGAGAAAGGCTGCTCACTTGGTTTAAAGAGCTTCCAGTTTGACTAATCCAGGCATGGCCAAACTTTGCCCTCCAGCTGTTTTGGGACTACAGTTCCCATCATCCCTGACCACTGGCCCTGTTAGCTAGGGATGATGGGAGTTGTAGTCCCAAAACAGCTGGAGGGCCAAGTTTGGCCATGCCCGGACTAATCCCTGGGAAAGCCAAATTCACGGGTTTTCCCCGTGATGATGTGAAGCAGGGACAGGCCAGGATGAAGCACTGCCACTTATTTCACAGCAGAGACGATGATGTCATCTCCAGGGAAGCTATGTGCCAATCTTCTGGGTGCTGAATAAATAAGCTTTCTTTTTCTCCTCAGAGAGAAACCCGTCAAATAAACAAATGAGAGGATGAAGTAGGTGACCTGAGCATGAATGGCTAAGGATTTCAATTTGGAAATATTGCCAACCAAAATGTGACAAAACAAGTGAGCAAGGAGATTCTTTTGCAGACTGGATGTTAAATAAAAGGGCTGGTGGTGAGAGAGAAAAGTTTGCTTGGTATTGATGTCTGCACTGGTCAACATTTTATTTGTGTTTTACAGTTTTAGAAGGGTTGCCATGAAAAGCAGCTGCGTTTCAGAATTTCCCACCACACCACTGAGCTTTTTGCAGTAATCCCACACTCT